GCTGGCTAAATGTTCTATCTTCATTTTGAAGATGAGGAAACTAAAGCTTTGAGAAGTTAATTAACTGCCCTATTTAATATAAGACAGGGGAGCTGCAGAGCTGGCATCTAATCTCCAGTCCCAGAACTCTTTACCTCCACCCTGTAGCACCTGCTGGCCTAGAATGGAGAGTTGCTCCTGGTACTTGTGATATAGAGCAAGCACCCCATGTTTGCCATGTTCTTGGTGGCCTGGACTCTGGCACTGTAAACTATAGAGTACAATGAAAAGATTAGGGTTTCAGTTTCTAATAAACCTGGACTTAAATCCTCCATCTGCCACTCTGACCTTCAGACGTCACCTTTCTTCTCTGAACCTTGGTTTAATTGACTACAGAATGAGAATAATGCTATCTACTCACAAACACTATCAAGATTACATTGAATCACAAGAATGAATGTCCAAAATCAAGTAGCACACAGCAGATCCTAGCAACATTTTAGTTCCTGTCTCTACTCTCCTCTTTCCACCTGGGGAATGGGGCTCTGAGCTGGCCTAGTGCACACAGGCTCTGAAGCCATATTGCCTGGGCCCTGTGGATACGTGAGTCAAGCTCTCTGGGCATCAGTCTCCTCATCTGTGAAGTGATGATGCTAACATAAACCTACTTCACGTTGCTGTTATGACTATGAAATGAGTTACAGCTAAAGTGCTTCGGACAGTGCTTGGCACAGATTGAGTACTCAGCAAATGTTAACTTTATTAGCTTTTGTACAGTCCTGACCCACCCTGCCTTGCATTACAGTTGTTTATGTGTCTCACTCCTCCACTACAGGACAGGCAGGGAGATCAGGTCTGATTCACTACACAGAAATAGGCGCTCACTGTTGTGCATTTAAAAGGCATTCTGGAGGTGGCAGGAAGGAGAGACTAAAATGTTGTCTGTAGGATGCAGCTTTTTCCTTAGTCCTTTACCTCTTACCAAGGGTGACTGCAACCTGTGCTCTTTGAACAAGGGTATGACTCAGGGCTGGTGTGAACCATCTGGATCCTTTCAGGCCCTGCACCAGATCTCCTGAGCACTGGGTCTCACCCTTTCCTCTGCCATGACACATGTGACATATTGTCTTGGTGCATAACACACTCCCACAGTCTCCCAGATTACAGGCTGCAGCATAGATAAGGTGGCCGCATGTCATGCACAATTCCTGGCACACTGCCCTCTCCCTCCCCTACAAGGAAGCATATCAGAATGCAAGCAAGAGAAAGTGATGTGATTAGAGATGACCTCAGATCTTTTGAATTTATATAAAAAATAAACCATTTACAGAACGTGGACTTGCTAACAATGATAATTATATACAACACACCTCCTAACTGACTGCAGTGTGCCAGCTGAGAACTGCTGTCCTGGAGAATAGATCTGATCCCCAAGAGGAAAGAGTGAACCTGTGTGGAGGGAGAAAAGCTGCTGAGTGAGCTGGGCTGGACTGCATGTCAGAGCAGAGAGCTCAAGAGCCCTAAGGAGAAGGGGGGCCCAGACAAGGGTCTGTTTTGAGGTTGAGAGTGAGCATAATAGTCGATGCTAACAGAAAAGAGAAAGAGACTCTGGAAAGCTAGAAGGAGTGAGAATTGGGCTGAACAGATGAAAGAATAGGAAAAAGAAAAAAGGGAGACTGGTTAAAACTGAAATGAGAGAAAGTATCGTAATGGGTCATATCACTTGTGTTCCCACAGATTTGCATTCAGAAAACTGAATTTCATATAACACCATGTAGACTACATTTTTGGTTTAAAAAGAAACAGCCTCAGCAATGGTGAGGTGATAAGCAACTCAGTGAGATTTGTGTATCTAAATAAAATACAAAAAAGGGCTAGGGATATGGTTCAGTGGTTGAGTGCCCCTGAGTTCCATCCCTAGCAGCACCCCCCGACATCAAAACATAAAAACTGCCCTACTAAGACCATCAGAATACCCTCTTTGTCTTGAAAACTAAAACTCTAATATCTGGGTTTTATACTTGGTTTTTGTCATATGTGTGACTTCAATAGGAGCTACTGAGGCTAATTCTTGGAAGGAGTGGGGTACACTCCTTCAAAAGAAGGAATACAAGAAGTAAATGAAAGAAAGGGCCCCTGGAGAAGTACAAAACACAGGCAGTGGAATATTGGCTTAAGCATGCTAAAGGATGGGGGACAACAGAATGCTGGGGAAATTACCTCTACAGATTCAGAAACTGCTTTGAGAACCTTACAGAGGAACACTGTGCCTGCTCTACAGATGGGGTCTCTAGAACACCAGAAGCTGGATGTATTCCTCATACTCACACAGTGAGAATTAGAAGAGGGTGAGAATTAGAAATGAGATTGTGGGTATAGTGGAAATAATGCAGCTTTGCCTGGAGTCAGAGAGACCTGGGTTAGTTCATCTATCTACTTTGCATAGATCTGACACACATTTTGGATCATGGCTTCCTCACCTGTAATGAGAACAATACCTAACTGAGAGAGTTGTGAAAATAAAATAAGGGAGTGACTATAAAGTACTCGGGGCCTGACATGTGGCAGTGCAGAGTAAGTACCATCATTAGCAGAGGTCCAGTTCCTCTCACTGCCCTGGAAAGATCAGTTCACTTCCTATCCTTTATCCTATCACCCTCCTATCTATCACTGGTTCCTGAACCCTGCTTGACCAGTTTTCCAGGTGGGAAACAGAGGTGGCCTTACCGGTAATAGGAAGTTGGTCGGGGTGGGGCATCAGGGGTGTCCTGCTCCAGCTCCCGGTATACCACCTCTGGCAGCTTGGGGGTGGCACTTGCAGAAGCATTATGGTGGTGATGATGGTTGGAGTCCTTACGTTTCTCCTTGTTCTTATGCTTGCCTGACTTAGGAGTAGCAGCAGGCGTTTCAGTGTTCTCCTTGTTACTTCCATTCTCAGGGGCCTCCTCAGGGGCTTCCTCGTCCTCTGATACCACATCCAGGTTGTCAAAGATGCTGATGCGGTGGACACGGCCATGCAGGTCCACCTCCACCATGCGCTGAGCCTGTGCGTAGCTCATCACCTCACGGCCTGGTGACTGTGATACCTCTGAGGGGCTGGGTGACTGCTTGTTGGCTGGGCGTGACTGCCGTCCCTTCTTCTTGTGCTTGCGGAGTGGAGTCTGCTGTGGGGGCGGCGGGTTGTCGTGGTCATAGTGGTATAGGTGGTATTCAATACCACTATAACTCTTGTAAACCTTGCGGCAGGTCTCCACAGGGCACTCGTATGGTGGTTTAGTTGCCCGCAAGTTGTGGCAGAAAGTCTTCACGTCAAAGTCCACCCCCATGCTGTCACATCTAGAATACATGGATAAGTTAACATAGGCCTGGGAAAGAGTTCCTGGCTGTGTGAATCAAAGACACCATCTCTTTACTCCTCCTTGTCCTCAGGGGTCATCTGGTCCTGGCCAGCCCCCTTGTATAGTGTTTCCAAATGCCATCACTTCCACCACAGTCCTGGTCTGGGTCCTCATTACCTCTGACCTAAGTCTCAATTCATCTAAACCAATTCATGCTGTAGCCAAAGTGATATTTTAAGGATCACTCCAAGCTCTTAACAAAAGGTCTCCTGATGTTCTCTAGCATAATATTCAAATTCTCTGTGATAACATCCAAGACACTCCTTTCACTGCCTAGTACCAATCTCCATTTCTAGATTCTTTTCACCAGTTACAGTTCTTTCTATCTTTACAAGGCAACCTGCCAATCCCTGAACATTATAACCTCCCAAGATACAGATTATCTCTATTAGGAATACCCTCCAATCTCTCCGAATGATGGGTTCCAAAACCCAACAGTCACTTAAGTTATGTCTTCTTTGACTCCCCAAGAGGAGCAGTTTCCACAATGTTCCAGTCTCACTTCCAGCATGGCACTTAGCACACTGGAATTTATGTACCCTTCCACTAAACAGCTAAGCAGTAAACACACCAGCGCCTATCCCTTTCTGTGTCCTCAGTACCCCAGCATGCCATGGGCACAGCTTTTGGCAAACAAATAACCTGTGAATGAACAGCTGAATGAGGAGATCGCCAGAACTGGAGTTGAGAGGTATGGAATGAAGGCTAATATTAGCCCATGGAGAGCCCTGAATGGGTAGTCAACAATTTAGTCAACTCCAACAGAAATCACTGAATTTGTTCACTTCTGAGATCTTTATGGGGATCCTCACCCTGGATATGATGGAGCTAAGTGAAAACAGGTTATTTACTCAGAGAAGGTGCCATGCACTACATTTGAGATTCTTATCCACCCATTCATGCACCATTAACTGAGTGCCTACCAAGTACAGCGCCCTAGGAGTACAAACAGGAACAAGACAATCTAGGCATGCTGGGCTACATGCCCAGCGTCAGGGGCAGCCCTTCCCCCTCCCCAATGTTCCTGGGTGAGTGAAGACAGCAGATGGCACCAAACCCCAGGACGCCCAGCTTGGTCAGAGACTGCCCCAATTTCTCTCGGCCTAGTTGAGTTCAACAATTCAGCTAGGGGCTTGGTACAATCACAGGCAAAGCCACCCTGAACTCCCTGACAAACCTGACCCTGGGACCTCTCCTTTGACTTAACCAGGCAAGTGGGCGGTTCCAACCCCTCAGTCAAAAGCCCCTGAATTCCACATCAGGAAAGCTACACCTTCAGCTCTAACTTCCTTCCACTTCGTAGCTGGGGCTGTGTCTTTAAACACAAACCAACTAAGGCGCAAACAAGATCTCCTCTTTCCAAGTCGGGTCCCAGGTGAATGCTGTAGCTCTGGCTTTGCTGCCCTAGCTCTCAAAGTGGCACAGGGCCCCTGCAATGTCCCGCTGGGACCCGGCAGCAGAGGCACAGCGGTGAGAGGCGAGAACTTAGACTTGAAAGCCCACAGGGAAGGACCGTAACCCGGGGGTAAGGTTGCTGTATAAGTCCCCACCCCGCCTCGGAGCTTTGGGGCTGCAGGAAGTAGGAGAAAGGGGCGGAGGGACCTGGTTGGCCTCGGCGGAGCCCACAGCCCTCTCTCCCGGATGAGGTGCCGTTTCCCCTTCGTCGAGGTAACAAGTTCAACAAGGCTCCCCTCCTGCCATGGCCCAGGCAGCCCCGAATGATACACTGTTGCCCGGGGATGCCCGCCGAGAGCTAATGCACTGTCAGTTCTGCCGGCTGGAGTGGCCCGAGGGGCACCCGAGCCAGGCCGCTGAGTGCGCGCCCCGTAAAGGTAAACTATCCTTTTCCCCCTGGCCACCTCCGCCCTGGTCCCAGGCGCATACTCACCGGCCACCTCGAGTCCGGGTTCATCGCCGGGGGCGCCCGCCGGGGCTCCGACCCCACTTGGGGAGGCCGGCGGGGAAAGACGGGCCGGGAAGGGGGAGCCCCAACTCCGGAGACAGTAGAGCTCGCCACCCCGGCCCCCTGCCGCCCCACGCTCCGGCCCCGGCTCCCCGGGATTCCCGCGCTGACCCCCGCCGTTCCCGGTCCCGCCGGCGCCCCAGTGTCTCAACTCCGTCGGTCGCCGCCCGTTTCGCGAGCCTCTAGATTGCCTAGCCTCGGGACCCGGCGCCGCCGAAACAATGGAGGATCCTGGAGGCAGCGCGGGGACAGCGGCGGCGGAGACCGTGGCGGCAAAGGCAGTGGCAGCGGCGGCGGCGGCGGCAGCAGCGGCGGCGACGGCGTCTGCGCAGGTAAACGCGGCGCCGCGGCGCTGCCGAGCTGCGCTTTCGCCACGGATCTCCGCCTGCCCTCTGGGGTGCAAGAGGCCATGCTCTGGGGCTTGGAAAGGCCCCGGACACCCCACAGGGCTCGGCTAGCACCTCCACCTTAGAGTTGAGTTTCTGGAGGCTGAAGTCGCAGTGCTTGGGATCGGGGGTCGTCAGGCCGTTTGTGGCGAATCTGCGGCCGCGGACGGTGAGCGCGGGGCTGGGCCTAAGGAGCCCGCCCTTCTCCCCTCCCCCTCCGCCTCCTCCCTCCCCGCCCGCCCTCCCGCTGGCGCGGCGGCTGCGGTAGGGACCTGGCCTTGGTCTCCGAGGAAGGCGGCGAGGCGGGGCGGGAGCGCGGGGCGGGGCTGGGGGCAGGGCCGGAGCCAGAGGGACGCGGGCTGGAGCCTAAGGGGGCCGGGAGTTGTGGATCGGGGCGGGCGGGGTGGAAGAATAGACCGTCCTGTGGGGCGGGGTTTGAGGGGAGGGGGCGGGGCTATGTGCAAAGCGGGGCCCAGTCAGGAGAATAGGGGCAGGAGGACGGCGGGGTAAATAGTGGGGCTCAACAGAAGAGTGGGCCTGAGGAAAGAAAGGGCGGAGCTTTGGATGGGTCTGGAAGGTGGAGCTGGACTGGGGATAAAGGATGGAACTGGGAAAAAAAATGATGCTGAAGGGAAAGGGCGGGGCTTGGGAAGGGCAAAGGGGCGGGGCTGGAGGGAAAGGGCGGACGGAATAGAGTAACGGGGCGGGAGTGAAGGAAAGGGAACGAGCTTGGAAAAGGTAAAAGAGAGGGACTGGAGGAAAGATGTGATTCTGAGGGGAGTCGCATTTGGGGAAGTGCAGGGTGCTGGTGGGTGCGAAAGTGGTGGGATCCAGGGGCTGGGAAACTGATGGGTTGGCAGGGATTTGCAGCATAGTTGCAGGTTGTTTGGAAGATCTTTGGAAGAGCTGCTGGGAAATGGAGTGCTTGCCTGGTATGCATGAGGACTTTGGTTTGATTCCTCACCGTTGCCCAAAATAAATAACAGCTGACTTAATGTGACTGTGCTACTTCCTAGCTATGTGAACGTGGGCAAGTTGTTAAATTCTTCCTCATCTTCCATATAATTGTAAAACGGAACTCGAAAACTGTTGTCAGTTCTTGGGGGTTTTAGAGAACTTGGATGCCAGAAGACATCCTTGTTAAACAGGGTTTCAGTAGTTTTGTTATCTAGGAGGATGAAAGGGTCTTCTAAGATTCTGGAGCATATGACAACTTCTGTTTTATCACAATGCAAACTTTGCATTCAACTCCCCAAAATGCACTTGGGAGGTGTACTGGGGATTGAGCCTAACTTTACCACTAGATACATCCTTAGCCTTTATTTTTTTATTATTTTATTTATTTATTTTAGATAGAGTCTTGCCAAGTTGCTGAGGCTGGCCTCAACCTTGCAATCCTCCTGCTAATCCTCCTTCAGACTTACTGTGATTACAGGCATGGGCCACCGAGCACAGCTTGCGTATATTTTCACTTTTAAGGTTTTCCATAAAACATCACAGTAAAATTGAAATTTCAGAAAGATGTTGGCTAGCTAAGATTTTGGGGTCTGAACTCCTGATGAATTACTGTACAGAAGTGACTTATGGGGCTGGGGTTGTGGCCCAGTGATAGAGCGCTTGCCTAGCATTTATGAGGTACTGACTGGGTTTGATTCTCAGCACTGCATGCAATTAAATAAATAAAAGGTCCATCAACAACTAAAAAAAAATTTTAAAAAAAAAGCTTAAAAAAAGAAGTGACTTATCCTCAGTGCCAGTTTCCTCATGTATAAAATGGGGATAATATTTAGCACCTCTTTCTCTCTCAGGGTTATCCCAAGAATTAAAAGAGGTGATGCTGGGCCTGGGGTTGTGGCTCAGTGATAGAGCACTTGCCTAGTATGTGTGGGGCACTGGGTTCAATCCTCAGCACCACACAAAAATAAATAAATAAAATAAAGATATTGTGTTCATCTACAACAAAAAAAAAATTTTAAGAAAGAGGTGATGCTTATTAATTACCTAGCATAGTATCCAATATGCAGTGAATGTGCAAAGAAAATATTAGCTATTATATTAGTTCAAAAATTTCAGAATATGGGGCTGGGGTACTGGCTCAGTGGTAGAGTGCTTACCTAGCATGTGTGAGGAACTGGGTTTGGTTCTCAGCACTGCATATAAATAAATGAATAAAATAAAGGTCCATTGACATCTAAATTTTTTTTTTTTTAATTTCAGAATAGTGGGCTGGGGTTGTGGCTCAGAGATAGAGTGCTTGCCTAGCATGCATGAGGCACTGGATTCCATCCTCAGCACCACATAAAAATAAAAAATAAAGACATATAACTAAACCAACTACAACTAAAAAATAAAATATAAAAATAAATAAATAAATTTCAGAATAGTGGTGCATGCCTATAATCTAGTGACTTGGGGGGCTGAGTCTGGAAGACAACGTTAAAGCCAGCCTCAGCAATTTAGGGAGGCCTTAGGCAACTTTAGCAAGATTCTGTCTCAAAAAAAAATTTTTTTTCCAAATAAATGGATCAAAGTAGAGTGATACAGAATCATCTTAAATCCAACCACTTTGGAGGTCAGAAACCTCCAAAAGATATGCGCCTTTCTCTGCTTATTTCTTTTCTCTTTTTTGAGCAGTAGAGGGGATTGAACCCAGGATCTTGCATCTTACACATGCTTAGGCAAGTATTTTACCACTTGTTTGCTTCTTCTTCTTTTTTTTGGTACTGGAGATTGAACCCCGGGGCACTTAACCACTGAGCCATATCCCCAGCCTTTTTTATTTTTTAAAAAAAGTCTTCCTAAGTTGCTCAGGGCCTTGCTAAGTTGCTGAGGCTAGTTGTGAACTCACAATCTTCCTCCTCAGCCTGCAGAGCTGCTGGGATTATAGGCATGTACCACTTGACCCAGCATTTGCTTATTTCATAAAGTGTTGAAAAATCCAAGTGATTGGAAGAATGTGTGTTAGTATGGGGATTAACCCAGCTGAAGATGTCCTTGATCCCTCCCTCTTGGGGGTGACCCCAGATCCGGAGTCCTCTAGTCTTGCTCTTCAAGACCCATGAGACTGAAGTAGAGTAAAGATCATATTTATTACTGGCAGAAGTCAGGCAGGTGGTGATAGTGCCAGGCCCTTCTTCAGTTGAAGGGGTGAAGGGCTCTTCCACCAGCGCTGATTCACTTAGTTGGCACTCCCAAGGAAGTCCAGGGCTCCAAGGCTCCAGGTGCCTCTGGCTTTCCGCAGTAGGTGACAAGCAAGCAGACTGCTAGACATTGGATATGTGGACTCCTCAGGGCTGTTCTGGAGCTGGGGTCGGGCTGGAGTTAGCAGGGGGTGGGGGTCGAGGCTGGATGTCCCTGGTACGCATATAGGACAGCAGCTGCTCCGGGATCTCAGCCAGTACATCCTTGGCCAGTCTGGCCATACTCAGTACCTGGTTGCCCGATCGGTCAACATAGTCTCGGAATGGGACAAACTGGGATAGGCACAGACAGGAAGGTGTGGGCCATGACCAGGGAAGAGGTAGTAAGGAGGTGTCATCTCTAATCTCCAGCATCTTTTTCCCCTGATCTTGGACAGATGTCTACATTCATTTTCTCCTCATCCTCTTTTTGTTTTATTTTGTTTTGTTTTCTGTACTGAGGGTTAAACCCAGAGACTTGTACATGCCAGACACATGCTATACCGCTGCGCTGCGTCCCCAGCCCTCCACCCACTTTCCTTCACCTTCTATTTGTTCTCAATCCATTCCAGTCTTGCTTCCCACAGTCCACTGAAACTGCTCTTGCTAATGTCACTGGAGCCCCATGTTGCCAAATCAGTCCAGGCAGAAACAATTTTCAGGCCATGTCTTGCCATACATTTCTTTGCCTTTCTGTTACATTTGGATATCATCCTCCTGGACACATCCCACTCCCGAGGAGGCCCAGAGAAGGGAGTTGGAGCAAGAGGGAAGCAGATATCTCAAACTCAGTGTGTTCCTAACTGAATTCTAGCTGTTTCTGCCAAATAAAGGCTAATAAAGGGAGGGAGAAGTGAAAAAGAAGAAAAAAACTATTCCCTGATGAGTCAATCCAAGATGTTTTTTTTTTTTAGAAACACAGACCCACCCCGTCTAATTTTAAAATTACTTTTAAAATTTTTTTTTTTTTTTTGAGACGGGGTCTCACCAAGTTGCCTAGGCTGGCCTCAAACTTGTGAGCCTCCTGCCTCAACCTGCCTTGTAGCTGGGGGTAGCTGGGATTATAGGTGTGGGCCACAGCACTCAGTCACAGCCTCTTTTTAAAGGTCCAGAGACAAATATTTAGTTGCCCACACCACCTCTCTATTCAGTTGTCACAGATACCTCAAACTCAAGTGTGTTCCCAACTGAATTCTAGCTCTTTCTGCCAAATCTCCTCCTCCAGCTTTCCCGTTCCTAGTCAATGAGACCATTACTCAGTTGTTGGTGAGGAGAAGACTGAGAGTCGTCTTTGAAGTTACCCTCACTCTTTGTCACTATCTAATCAAATCATCAAATCTGGTGACATTTTCTTAAGATATTTTTTGAACCTGCTACTTCTCTCCATCCCCACTGCTTCCGCCCTCATTCAGATCTTTACCATCTCTGCCACTTCCAAGGCTTTCTCACTAATCAGTCTACCTGCCTTCTCTAACCCTGCCATAGTCCACCCTCCACCAGCAACCAGAGGAATCCTTTTAAAGTGCAGATAAGACTATCTCACTCCCTTATGTGAAATCCTTCAAAAGCTTTAGAACAAAGCCCCAGATCTTCACTGTGAAGGCCAAGGCCCCTTCTTATCACTTAGTGTGATCCTGCCACCCTGCTCTGAACCCCCAGGCCTAAGGACATGCTGCTTCCCTGTCTGTAAGCTTATACCTTCCTTGAGGACTCAGCTCAAGTGTCATTTCCTCACAGAAGCCTTCCCCAACTACTGTCAGATCCCCTGCTATTGGCTGTCACATGGCATTTGCTATTTTCTGAGCACTTATCACAATCTCATCAGATATATAGCTATGTAGTTATTACCAGCTGCCTCCACTAGAGGGCAGGTACCTTGGGGATCTCCTGCACCAGGGATCCACCAAGGTGACAGCAACCTTCCAGCTTCTGGAAAAGAATGTGTTCAGAGCTGTGTTACATGCCAGTAATCCCAGCAACTCAGGAAGCTGCGGCAGGATCACAAGTTCAAGGCCAGCCTCAGCCTCAGCAATTTACTGAGACACTCAGCAACTTAGGAAGATTTTGTCTCAAAAAAAAAAAAAAATAAAAGGGCTGGGGATGTACTCCAGGGGTATTATGCCCCTGGGTTCAATCCCCAGTTCCAAAAAAAAAAAAAAGTTCAATGAATGAGAAAGGAAGGTGATTAAGAAAGCGGTAACTTCCTAAACTTCCTGCTTAGCCTTTCCTTCCCACTGTGCCTGTCAGCTCTACCATCTCTCCATGGTTACCTGGACAATGTCCCGCTCTGCATAGCGTCCCCTGGAGGACACACGCACATCATCGCCATCCAACTCTTCCATTGCTGCAGAAACAATACTGTAAGCTGATTGGCCTCTTCAACCCCACCCCTTCAAAATCATCATGCGAAAGTCCTACAAATATTAGACGCTATTTGGAGTTGTTATTTTTAAAATTTTTTTCTTTTTTTTTCAGTTATTGATAGACCTTTTATCCATTTATATGTGGTGCAAAGAATCGAACTCAGTGCCTCATGCATGCGAGGTAAGCGCTCCACCACTGAACTACAATCTCAGCCCTAGAGTTATTATTATTATTATTAAAAAAATTTTTAAGTTGCCAATGGACCTTTATTTTTTATTTATTTGTTTATATATGGTTCTGAGAATCAAATCCAGTGCCTCACACATGCTAGGCAGGCACTCTACCATTGAGCTACAACCCCAGCCCTATTACTACTACTACTACTCCTGCTACCACTACTACAGCTATTACTGTGCCTTCCCACACATCCAATCCTCCCCAGAGCAGCAGGGGAAAAATATTGGTATTGGCATCTCCAAACTCAGTTATGAAGAGAAAATGAAGTTGAGCAGGTTTGTGACTCAACCAAGGTCTCACCAGGTCATTCACCCTGTCTTGTGAATCAGGTCAGTGCCTAGACCCATCCCATCACCCCAGTTCTTAGTCCCACTAATGGACAACCCCCGTCTTACCCTCAAACATGGCTGGTCCCACACCCACAATAATGATAGACATGGGCAGCGAGGAGGCCTGTAGGGAGAGAGGGGAATTGTTGGAGTGAGCAGCCATAATAAGGGAGGTGACTGTTGGGAGATAATTCTCCCCATACATCTTATGAGTAGAGGCTCTGATTCTCTTTGTTCCAGACTATTTTTTTTTAATATTTATTTTTTAGTTTTCGGCAGACACAACATCTTTGTTTGTATGTGGTGCTGAGGATCGAACCCGGGCCGCACTCATGCCAGACGAGTGCACTACCGCTTGAGCCACATCCCCAGCCCTGTTCCAGACTATTTTTGAAGGATGTGTATATGTCAAGTGGCCCTGAAAGATACACTGTCTCTTCTATCCAGTATAATTTGAAAAAGGTCTCCCACTGGAACACAGGGCAGCATGCCTCCTGCCCATTATAAAAGATTCATGTTCCCTAAATTCTAATAATGCAACCTGCAGTGATTCCAAGTATCATCTGGCCATCTTCACATCATCCTACTGGAACTGGGACTTAGAGAATCAGCATGAAGGCTGTTACTCCAGCTACTGCTTTTGCTGGGAATAACAAAGTTTCATGGATGCTGTATCTTCTGCCAGCATCCATGAAACTGACAGGTATAACTTGTTATATTACAAGGAGGATAGAAATCTCAACTCCATCACAGTGTTGGCAGTGACCCCTCCCTGCCAAGCCTTCCTCCAGACTCACACTGACGATGGCCTCTTTGGTCTGTGTCATGTCAGAGATGACCCCATCAGTGATGATGAGCAGAACGTAGTACTGGGAACCATCAGAGATCTTGGCTGCAGCCCTGCATGAGAGACCAAGATCAGAATTCAGCTGAAAGTCAGAGAGGCCAAGGGGACACTCCAGCCCCATAGTTTCCACAGCCAAAGTGTGAACAGTGGGCAAGAATAGGGGCTTTTGAAGCCTGTGTTCTTTTCCCTGACCTGGCTGCCTGCCCCTGACTGACACTTCCCCATTAATATTTACTAAGCACTTACTATGGCAGGAAATATAGAAACATAAGAAGGGAAAGAGCAAATCCTCCTGTCAGCCCACTGGAGGGAACAGACAGACATTGATCCAGAGACTACACAAAGAGGTGTAAAATCACCATGTGACTGGGCTCAGTGGCACATGCTTATAATCCTAGCAACTCAGGAGGCTGTGGCAGGAGGATCACAGGCTTAAGCCTCAGTAACTTAGCAAGGTCCTGAGGAACTTAGCAAGACCTGGTCTCAAAATAAAAAATAAAATGAGGTGGGGATGTAGCTCAGTGGTAAAGCACCTCTGGGTTCAATCCCTAGTACCAAAAAAATAAAATAAAAATCACCACTGTGATGAGTGCTTTGATGATGGGGATGCTGCTCAGACAGTACATAGCAGGGGATCCTGACAGGGTCCAGGAGGCCAGCAAAGGCTTCTTTAAGGCAGTGATGTTTAAAGATGGAGGTGAGGACTGGGGTGGATCCCTTGCCTAGCACTTGTGAGGCACTGGGTTCTATCCTCAGCACCACATAAAAAATAAATAAATAAAGATACTGTGTCCATATACAACCAAACAAAATATTTTAAAAAATAGATGGAGGTGAGGCTAAGTGAAGGGTGGGACCATTCCAGGCAGAAAGAGCACAGCATGGACCAGCAGCTCTGTGGTGGGACTGTAGGAAGTTCACCCTGTCTGAAGGACAGGAAATTAGGGTGACAGAGTAGACTGTGTGGCTGTGGGGACCTAGGGGTCAGACCACATATCACACCAGGCTTCATCAACCTCTGGGAAGATTTATTTTTTCTTTTTTGGAGTACTGAGGATGGAACCCAGGGTCTCATGCATGCTAGGTAAGCTCTCCGCCATTGAGCGAAACCTCCTGCCCTATTTTAATTAATTTTTTTAAACATTGAGACAAGGTCTTGCTAAGTTGGAAAAGATGACATTAAACTTAAAGTTCTCCTGTCTCAGTTTCTTGAGCAGCTAGGATTATAGTCCTGAGCCATGACATGTGGATCTCTGGGAAGATTTTGATATTCATATAAGACCAGGAGTGAAGGCTGAAAGCTTCTCTTTCCTGCTCTCATCCGCTCCCTCTCTCTCCTCCTCCCCTGCTGACTCCATCCATTCCCTATAGTCTGACAGCTGTTTGGAATGCTCCTTTTCCTTCTCTCACACATCATCTTTGAATTCAGGAGTTTTCCATCTGAAGAGGATTTCAGAAAGCATGAGTCCAGTCCCCTTATTTTACATATAAGAAAAAAAGGAGGGGCTGGGGATGTGGCTCAAGTGGTAGCGCGCTCGCCTAGCATGCATGAGGCACTGGGTTCGATTCTCAGCACCACATAAAAATAAATAAAGATATTGTGTCCATCTAAAACTAAAAAATAAATATAAAAGAAAAAAAGGAGACTGAGATTGAGGGAAAGCACACCCTGGCCTCTCGACTTCCTGTCTTGGATTAGAAAGGATAGATCTGTGCCATTTAGATCAATGAAGTTATCTGGATGCAGTGGCCCACACCTGTAACCCCAATGATTGGGGTGGCTGAGGCAGGAGGATTGCAGGTTCCAGGCCAGTCTCAACCACTTAGGGAGATCCTGTCTCAAAATACAAAATTAAAAGGACTGAGGATGTAGCTCAGTGGTAAAGTGTCCCCTGGGTTCAGTCCCTAGTACCCAAAATAAGGAATTAACTAATTGCAAATTAATTCATTAATGAAATTAAATAGGATTCATAACTCAGTTTCTTGGTCACCCTAGCCATTCAAGTGTTCAATATCCATATGTGACTGGTGACTACCATATAAGATAGCACGGCTATAGACCATTTTCATCACAGCTAAAGTTCTTTTGGGCCTGATCTCAAGAAGTCAGGACAGGCATGACAAGCAGAGTGCAGAATTACATAGCTCCAGCTCAGTTTGTCCAAGGCCCCAGGTGGACACTTGCACCACTGAGATGAACTGAAGTTAGGGCTTGGAGGATGTGTCAGGTGACCTAGGACTTAAAAAATGAATAGGGTGATGGCAGGGAGGGAAAAGTGTTCCAGAAAGAAAGGATGTCAAGTGCAAAGACACAGCATATTCTAGGAGTACATGAAGAACCACAGAGGAGTGATGAAGCTGGCACCCAGGACAAGGGTCCTCTCATGAAGGGATCTGTTTGTTTTTGTGGCCTGGAGATAAAACCCAGGGCCTATAATCCCAGTGACTTGGGAGACTGAGGCAGAAGGATCTCAAGTTCAGGCCAAACTTAGCAATTCTCTATTTCAAAATCAAATTTTAAGAGGGCTGTGGGTGCTGGAGTTGTAGCTCAGTGGTAGAGTGCTTACCAAGCATGTATGAGGCAATGGGTTCCATCTTCAGCACCGCATGAAAGTAAATAAATAAAATAAAGGTATTGTGTCCATCTACAACTAAACAAAATATATTAAAAAAATAGAGTGCTCCTGGATTAAATTCCCAGTACATAAAAAGGGTGTCCACCTTGCAGACTGGCAGTAAAGATTAATTTATTATTTTTCTATGGTACTGGAGGTTAAATCCAGGAGCGCTCTACCACTTTGCTATATTCTCAGCCCTTATTGTTTTAAATTTTAAAAATTTTGAGGCAGGGTCTTGCTAAATTGCTGAAGCTGGCCTTGAACTTGCCATTTTCCTGCCTCAGCCTCAGCCTCCCAAGCCACTGGGATTACAAACATGTGCTTCCATGCCGGCTCTTATTCCTCGTTTTAGATTTATTTATTTATTTTTGAACTAGGGATAGAACCCAGGACCTCATCCATGCTAGGCAGGCATTCTACCACTGAGCTATATCCCCAGCCCTTAAAAATGAGAAAACTATATTCAGCAATATTAAGTAGCATCCCCAATGGGTGATGAAGCTGAAGTCCAAGCCTATTCTTGACCAACTGAACTAGAGCCCGACCTCTGGATGCCATCACTCTCCATTTCTGGCTTACTCCCTGGAGGGTGGGAGATCCACTCTACAGTCAGATCAGCGCTCCCTGATGTGCCCCTGTGCTTCTCACCTGGCATTCCTTCCACCAGGACTACCTGCTCCTCTTCTCTCGTAATGTTCGGCTCTCCCTCTAGACTCAGCTGAGCAGTCCCCTCTGTTCCTCCTCCTGTTCCTCTCTCCTCTAGGGTATAGCCACAGCCACCAAGATTGACTGCCTGCTCCTCTAAGAGGGTTCCCGAACCCCAGAGGGCACCAAGGAGCTCCTCCATCCTGCTTGGTTTGGTGGATAAAGCTAGATAACTAGAAGTGAACTTAAAACACCTTTAAAAGAAATTACAGCTAACATGCAATGTGAGAAGAACAGCAAATTTGCATGAATTTTAAAAATTAAACACAGAGACTTCAAAGAGATTCTCAGCCTGGCTGCTTTGGGTTGTGGCCCCAGATTTTCCCAGGGGGATATAGTCTCTTGCCTTTGCTGACAGGTGACTTGCTAGAAAAGTCTGGGAAGCTCTGGCCTACAGAAGGTAATGATTTATTTATATTTCTATCTCCTGCAACAAGGCAGGGACTCCCAAGGGCAGGGACTAGGTCTGATTCATCTATGAATCTCCAGTGCCTCAGCAGAGAGCTGAGCACCCTGCAGGTGGCCTCTGCATAGTAATAATGATAATAATAGCAACAGCAACAGCTGACATTTACAGTACTTATGATGTGACAGGTACTGTTCAAGGTGTTTGACATATATGTGTTAATCAGTCCTCAAGTAGCCCTGCCATGAAGATATTATTATTCTCATTTTGAGGAGATAGGCACAGAGAGATTAGGTATTGAACCCACAGGTGCTCTATCACTGAGCCACATCTCCAGCCCTTTTTATTTTATTTTGAGACAGGATCTTGCTAAATTGCTGAGCTTAGCCTTAAACTTGCAATCCTCTTGAGTCACTGGGATTACAGGCATGTGCCATTGCACTTGTCTGCTCTGTATATTTTTATCCTGAAAACTTGGAGAGTTTTAAATGTACCATTAACTAAGCACTTACTATGGGCTAGACCACCTCTTACATGGTTATCTAATTATTTTTAAAAAAATTGTTTTTGTAATTGTAGATGGACAGAATTTGTTTATTTTTATGTGGTGCTAAGGACTGAACCCAGGGCCTCACACATACTAGGTAAGCACTCTGCCACCCAGCTACAGCCCCAACCTTAATGATTTTGTTGTTGTTGTTATTACCTAACTTCTCAATAACCTATACTGCTTAGCATGGTGGTGCACGCCTATAATCACAGCTACTCAGGAGGCTGAAGCAGGAGGATTACAAGTTCAAGGCCAGCTTTGGCAACTACATAGCAAGACTGTGTCTCAAAATAAAAAATAAAAAGGAGGCTGAGGCAGGAGGATCGTGAGTTCAAAGCCAGCCCCAGCAAAAGTGAGGCCCTAAGCAACTCAGTGAGACCCTGTCTCTAAATAAAATACAAAATAGGGCTGGGGATGTGGCTCAGTGGTCGAGTGCCCCTGGGTTCAATCCCTGATACTGCCCCCACCAGAAAAAAGAAAAGAAAAGAAAAAAAGGGCTCAGTGGTATAGTGCCCCTTGGTTCATTCCCTAATATCAAAAAGAAAGAAGCCACTACTGAGATCCATTATAACACCACTTCATAGAAATGAAATGGGAGCTGAAGAAAAAAAGTGGGGTGGGGTGGAGAAAGGGAGGAAGGAAGGAAGAAAGAAAGGGAGGTACTTAAAAAGGCTAAGCTGCTTATGCTCCTGTGGTTAGTGAGAGGTGGAGCAAGGATCTCACACCAGTGCGTCCACCAGGGTAGGCAGAGTCTCCTTCCTTACGTAAAGTCAAGACCGACTCAAGGTCGGGGTCCTCATTCCCACAGACAAAGTTGGAGTAAGTTTATTGACACCTTCTCTATCCCACAATAAGTTATTAAGTAACCTTATTGTCCCAAGGCCTGTCCCTACACTGAAACTTTCTCCTAATCTGTAAAACCCAGTTCACCTTAGAGTGAACTTGGGGAGGCAGTCCCCCGTCTGGGCCCCATCGCTGACCCTAGCCCCCGCCAGTTCCCTTACCTGGCCACCTGATTGATGACAGGAGCAAAGTAGGTGGGCCCATAGAGCTGCACAGTGCGCAGGCTCTGGAAATAGCTCTCCAGCACGCCCTCGATGCCCGCACAGTTGGGGTCCTCATCATTGTTATTCTGCCAAAGAAGATGCCCTGCCAAACTGAGCCCAACCAGGATATACCCAGGAGTGCTCTGATCCCAGCTTACCCCTTCCTTTTGCCACCAGTTCCTTTCATGCACCCCTCCAAACCCAGCCCTGCCCTCCCTCCCTGCTCTGCCACCCTCTCACAGCTCCCTGCTCCTCTGAAGTCCCTCACCCTTCAAAGAAATGTACATAGAAGAAATTTGTCAACTTGTGTGGGCCAGACACCAGGGCACGCGGTGTAGTCTGTGACCCATACCATACCAGGGGGAACTGGTGAGAGATCCGTCCCTCTGGGGGCAGCTTGGCCCCAAAGCCATAGGCCGGGAAGAGCTTGTCACTGTCATAGTCCTGGATGATCTCTCCCACTGCCTTGAGGGCCATGGCATAGGCGCTGAGCTGGTAGGGACTCATGTAGTGCAGGGAGGTAGGCTGCAGGGGATTCCCTGTAGGGACACAGGAGCCCCAGCCTCATGGTCACCTGGATCATTCACCTGTTCACCTGCTTATCCTTGTATGTATCCATCCATCTATCCATTTATCCACCCTCTACCCCGTACTCCCTCATTATTATTATTAGATATCAGAGATTTAACCCACTGAGCCACATCCCCAGCCCTTTTTATTTTTTTATTTCAAGACAGGGTCTTGCTGAGTTGTTTAGGACCTTGCTAAATTGTTGAGGCTAGTCTTGAACTTGTAATCCTCCTGCCTCAGCCTCCAGAATCCACTGGAATTACAGGCCTGCACCACCTTGCCCAACTGAGTGGGTAAATTCCTATCCTCAGGTTGGAAGCGAGCCCAATCCCTCAGGACTCCCCTAAAATCCTCCCATCCCTCTTTCCCCCATCCATGCCTCACCATTGGAAGCCGTGAAGTCAATAGCCACTGTGAAGTTGAGCTGGGTCCTGTTGCGGAAGTTCAGGGATAGAGTAGTGAGGGACTAACAGCTATGACACTAGCAATTCTGAGACGTTATTATACATACAGCTCACCTGTGGCTCGTGTTCAATGCAGATACTGACCAGGCAGTCTGGGTGGAGGTGACAAACTCCCTAGGCATGCTATTAGTGCAACTATGGACCCCACTTTGGGTAGAAGAATTGAATGCTTTTCTTCCTTTCCCATCGTACCTCATATTATTTTATCCAGCCACTTATCACTTATCTAGCCCCTTGTCATTTATCTGTGACAAGTGTAGTACATGTAATCTAATTTAACCCTTACTATAGCCCCAAAGTAGTGATTAAACTTTCCATTTTACATAGGAGGAGAGTGAGGTTCAGAGAAGCAAAGTACATTTCCAGGTCTGCCTAGTTCCTCTGAGTGGAGCAAAATGTCCCCTGTAGTCTATGTAGCTTTTCCCTCTCTTGAACCTCTGCTTCTTCTCTAGCCATCATTCCCTGCTCCCCATTCCCCCTCCAGGTGCTGGGGATTAAAACCAGAGCCTTGTGCATGCCAAACACATGCTCCATCCTGAATCCCTAGCCATAACTTTTATAGAAAGGCATTTGGTTACTGGGGCCACCAGTGGTGAGCCTTAATCTGGCAGCCATCCATAGGGGGCGTGGGAAATAAGGACAAAAGACAACCCTATGAAGAGAAGTCAGAGGGACCACACTTTGCACTTTACTTAACAGTCAAGTTAGCATGCTGAGTAGTTTACAGTCTCATTGGGCCCTGACCATTTAAAGATAGGAAAACCCACTACGGGGCTTTCAGCCTACAGCTGGTCTATGACTCACCCTCCCTTGATGTAATCGACAAAAGTGAATTCAGAGTCCACAGAGAAGGAAAGCAGCGTCACCTGTGGGATAGAAGACGCGGCCCTGCCACTCTGGAAAGGGCAGTTGGGGCAGCAGAAGGGAGAGAAGCTTCATAAAGCTTTGGAGAGAGGTTCCTGCTGGGAGGCACATGATTCTACTCCTGCCCCCACCCTGTCCCCCATCTTCCCCCACTTTTTTTTTGGTACTGAGGACTGAACACTGAGTATATTTCTAGTCCATTTCATTTTTATTTTGAGACAGAGTTTCACTAAGTTGCAAGGTTCCCACTCAGTTGCCCAGGCTGGCTTTGAACTTGGGATCCTCCTGCCTCAGTCTCCCTGGTTGCTGGGAATACAGGTGTGCCCTACCACATCCAGCTTATCTCCCACCCCCTTCTGTAAGAAAAAAAAGGGGAAGCTGTCAGAAACATATTTGGATTTCCAAAAATATATTGAATTTGGAAACTTAATTTAAGGTGTTTTTTTAATTTACTTTGCAAAAGTATAAAAATTGAAAAAATTTTCCTGGATGAGAGAAAAAAACAAACTTAAGTGGAGCCACCTTGTACCCACCATTACTATATCCAAGTGATCTGTTCCCACTGCCTCCCCCTGCTCCTAATGTTTGTCACTGGGACAGAGACAGAAGGACCCGAGGGGGGCTGAAACTCTAGGGAGCACTCACTGTTCCCGAGTTGACATATTTCTTCTTCTTACATTTTTTCCGAGGGTTGAGTACCTAGGTGGAGGAAAGTAAGAGTGACAGTGGAAATGGGCATGGAGGGAGCTCTAGGCCGAGCACACCGGGGCAGAGGCCCAGGTCACCCTGCACAGCCTGATTCTCACCTCATATACCGTGAACTGGTTCTGGGCCTTGCTCAGCTCCCGGTAGCTCGTGGTGAACTCACCAATGAAATCATGGCTGTAAAGAGGCCAGAGGTGGGTCAGCAGCGACTGCGCTGGTCTGAAGCCAGGCCTGAACTCTGCCAGTTATTCCCCCTATTCTAAGCTCCTACTTGGACAGCAAGGCTGTAGGGGTAGGGCCAGGCGGGGAAGAAAAAGGAGGAGACAGCACCAGAGAGACAACTGAGGGGTCAGCTGTACCAAGACCCTGGCATCTATTCATCACCCTTCCTGGCTCCCAAGGCTGCTTTGGGGTTCCTGGCAAATGTACCACATATAATTAGGGAACTGCTCTGATTAAGTACAGGAGCAAGGGACACATGGAGCTGTCCTACCTTCCATCTCGGTCCCAATCATACACATCAATCTTCACTGTTCTGAAATGCATAAGGTAAACACAGGCAGGATGTATAGGTTAAATCCCAGAGACAAACCTGGTCACTTAACCATACACTAGTCACCTCAACCCAGCCGTGTTCATTTTTCTCTTTTTTTAATATTAATTTTTTTAGTTTTAGGTTGACACAATATTTTTATTTTATATTTATGTGGTGCCGAGGATCGAACCCAGTGCCTCATGCACACTAAGCAAGCGCTCTACCACTGAGCCACAATCCCAGCCCCAATGTGTTCATTTTTCAATCTTCTGCCCATCTTTCCCTCCTGAGTCCACGCGGACACCAAACCACCACTAATTACATCATGACTACTTGTGCTACGAGAACCACTGTTAGTATTCTTTCCCCATTGATGGGTCTTGCTGTATTCCAGGTTCTCAGCACTTTCACAGATTGTCTTATTTAATTGAACAACCATTCTGCATAAAATAATTATTCACACTTTTGGATAAGGAAATGGAGATATGAAAAAAAGAGTCGCTTAGCTAAGACCTCATGGTAGTGACTGAACTGATATTTAAACACAGACATCCTCCTTCCAAAGACTTAGTTCTTAATTGCCATGCTTAAGTCATCACATGTCTGTCAATGTATCAGTCCATCCAATCATCTAGCCACCCACCTAGCCATTCATTTGCCTGTCTTTTTGACAATCCAATTGCCTCTTACTCCATCTCTTTATCCACCTAACTATACAGCCATCCATTGACTCCCTGTTACACAAAACACCCACCTGTCTGTCCATTCACCCACCCAACCAAACACCCAACCACGTAACATCTGTCCGTTTGATTATCCATTCATTTGCATAACCATCCAACTATGTATCTCTATCTGTGTGCCCATCCACCCTTCCACCTTCCCACCTACCCACTTATCTTCACATTACCCATTCATTAGTTTGGTAAGCCTACTACTTTACACCCACCACCGACTAACTCATCCATTAATCTACCCATTCATCCGTTTACCATTCATTCATCTGTCCAACCCTCAATCCACCTGTCACTCCATTTATCCTTTTCTATTACACGTGTTTTTTCACTCATCCATCTGTCACTAATAATCCACAGATTCTCATATGCCCATCTATCACCCATCTATCAGCTCATCCATTTGATCACCCATCCATTATCTGTCCATCCACAAGTCTACCCATCAGTCCCATTGTCCATTCACCCATTCATTCACCTTCCCATCCACCATTCACCAGGTGATCTACCTATCTGACCATCCATTCATGTATCTGCTCATGCATCATTTCTTCATGTGCTCTTTCATTCACCCATTCCAATGCCCTGGGGCCCAGGAACCTCACTGTTATATCCTGGTCCCTTTGGTCCCCACTCATGTTGAAGCAGACCTGTCATAGTCTCCGTTGCACAGGGCCCGCACGGGGATGCTGAAGGGCTGCCACACAGGATTCAGCGTGTTCTTCACAACCTCCGTCTTGTGGCAGATGGTGAACCTGGAGGAAAGCAGGAGTACTAGATCCTGCCCTAGGGGTAACACCGAGTCCAGAGATGGGCCCAGCACTTTCAGAGATTCCTGAGAGTCCCACTTGTCAAGCATGTGCCCCACACCTTGCCTAAGACCTGTGAGAGCTGTGACTCACGTGCCATCTTCATTGCTCCTGTAGAACACAAGAAAGGGGTCTGATTTCCCAAAGAAGTCCTTCTTGTCCAGCTTGTTTGCACACAACTGCATGGTGGCAATGTCCTAGGGATGGATAAAGTTGGGCTGTTGAGACCCAGCCTTCAGACAGTCCGCTCAAGAGACTAACGGTAGAGAAGGGAGCTCCTGCATCTAGCATGTGGCCCCTACTGACCCGACAATTGCTAAGCTCCTCTGCAGTCAGCAGTATGGTCCCACACTTCTTGCCCGGTACACCCCTGGAAGCAGAAAAAGCCTCTTAGTGAGAGGACTGAGGGTAGATGACAAAGACTGGGGCAGCCATTCGAGGATTAAATGGGCCAGGGGACTCCATCTGCCATTTACTGACAGTCCCCTAAATGTGTCTCCTCCTGTCCTGGATGATCTTGTGGGAGAAGACCTGACTTTGACTCAGGAAGGATCTAGCTTAACCAAGGGGGACAACTCATAAGAATAGTGTACAAAAGACATGGAAGTTAGAGTAAGTGGACTCAGGGTGGATTTTGTGACTTTCAAGCTGTGTGACCCTTGACGAGTTACTTCCCATTTCTGGTCCTTAATTTTCTCCTCTATGAAATGAGAATCATGACCACCTGTAATAGGCTATGAAGATATATGAGTAAGCAAATGGAAGGAAAAGCAATTTGTAAACATTATAGACAGGAAGTGGTTGTGTTCTTTCAAGCAGAACCTGGAACCTATTGTGTCCCAGGTGCTCTGGGACAGCTCTGCTAGATTCTGCCCTCAGCTTTCAGCAGGACGTGGAATGTCATAGTAGAGGATGACCAGTTCTGAGTATAACAATTCTGAATGAGGAAGAGGACTTTCTATCTAGAACCAGGGATAAAAGTTTGGTTTATTAGGTCAAAGTGGCTTTGTTTTCTGAAGACAATGAAGAGTGAGATTTAAAAAGATGAGGGGAAACCGGATATAGTGATGTATGCCTATAATCCCAGCAATTTGGGAGGCTGAGGCAGGAGGATCACGAATTTGAGACTAGCCTGGGCAACTTAGCAAGACGCTTTTTTTTTTTTTGGTACTGGGGATTGAACTCAGGGACACTCAACCACTGAGCCATATCCCCAACCCTTTTTTGTATTTTATTTAAAGACCACCTGTAATAGGCTATGAAGATATATGAGTATCTGGGTCCTTAATTTTCTCCTCTATGAAATGAGAATCACAGCAGCTTGGGAGGCTGAGACAGGAAAATCATGAATTTAAAGCCTGCCTCAGCAAAATCGAGGCTCTAAGGTTTCAGTTGCTTAGAGTCTTGCTTTTGCTGGCTTTAAATTCATGATTTTCCTGTCTCAGCCTCACAAGCTGCTGGGATTACAGATGTGCACCACCATGCCCAGCAAGACCTTGTCTTAATATGAAAAATAAAAAGGGATAGGGACATAGCTCAGTGGTAAAGCACCCCTGGATTCAATTCCCAGTACGAAAAAAGGGGGGGTCACTGGGACCAGGTGCAGTAGCACCTGTAATCCCAGCAACATAAAAGGCCTCTGAGGCAGGAGAGCTGCAAATTCAAGGCCAGCCTGGGCAATGTGGGGAGACATTCTGTAATTTAGCAAGCCCTGTATCAAAATAAAAAGGGTTGGAGTTATAGCTCAGTGGCAAAGTACTCCTGGGTTCAATACCCAGTACCTATCCCTCCAAAAACACATACACACACAAAGACAAGGGAAGCCTTGTCCTCTTCTGACCCCAGGAGGGACATTTCCATATGTTTACAGGGTACATACAGAAATGCATATTCCCCACTTGTCTTGGTTTCCCAAGCAGAAAGGGATCTTGTTGATATGGGCCAGTGATCCCTGACACCCAAAGTGTGGAGAAAGAAAGCTGGGTCAGGAGGTTCAAGCCCTATCTCTAACTTGCTTGTAAGATTTTCCCCATCTTTCAGATGAGAGTGTCAAGCGGTTTCTTTGACTTCATCGGCTTCTGGTTCTTCCCTCACCTTGATATACTTATTTGGCAGAATCCAGCTGACTGCCTAACCCACACTGCACCCGTGTAACTGAACATGGCCAGAGGAAAACACACCATCATGCTAGTTTTTTTTTTTAATTGAACCCAAGGCATAGCACATGCTAGGCAAGTATTTTACCACTGAGCTACACCCCCTATCCCAAATGTGTGTGTTTAATACTTACTTTGTTTGTTTTGGACTAGGAATTGAACCCAGGGGCACTTTACCACTAAGCTACATGCCTAGCCCTTTTTATTTTGAGACATGGTCTCACTAAGTTGCAGAGGGCCTTGCTAAATTGCTGAGGCTGTCCTCAAGCTTGCAATCCTCCTGCCTTGGCCTCCCAAGTCTCTGGAATTACACAGTCCCTGGCCCCAGCCCAAGTTGGTCTCATTTTTAAATGTAAGATCATGCACCACAAGAAGACCCTTAAGGGCTGGGGGTTTAGCTTAGTGGCAGAGCACTTGCTGAGCTTGTACCAGGCCCTAGGTCCTACTCCCAAGCCCCCCCCTCACACACACACACAAAAAAAAAAACCCACAAAGAAGAAGGTTCTTAATGCTGCCTGATAGTCATACTACATGTCCCCAAGCCTTCTATGTGGATGGAAGTTTCTCTCTTTTTTCCTCAAACCTCTGTAGCCTCCTCCACCATCCTCACTCTTAACTGGTGACCTTGTTTCCTACTCACTGACAAAACTGAAGCAACCAGAAGAGAAAGTCCACCCACCACCACACCTCCCCTGCCACCAGTGTCTTCACCCACACAACTGTGCCTTCCCACGGTTGCTATAAATGCACGGTGCTTATGCCTCTTTATCCCCCTGCCGTATACTTTATCCCATACCATCTTGTCTGCACAGGGACATCGCTCCAGCAAGTCTGCCCTCTTTTTATTTTATTTTATTTCGAGACAGGGTCTTGCTAAGTTACTGAGGCTGGCCTTGAGGTTGGGATCCTCCTGCCTCAGCCTCCTGAGTTGCTGGGATTACAGGCTGTGCCATTGTGCCCGGCTCTCCTTTCTTTTATTGCATCGACTTTTCAGTATCTGTTGGTTCATTCCCATCAACATAAAGTGTGATTTTTCTCATGTTAAAAAATGTCAAACCTATTCTAGACCTCACTTCCTGCTCCAGCCACCTCTTCTTTTCTCTCCTTTCAGAAAGAAAAGAAAAAGGCCTTCACTCCTAGTTCCTTCTTCCATTCTCTTCTAAACCTTTCTAATTTCCACCTCCCCTTCAAAACTAGCTTGTCAGGCTGGCGTGGTTTCTCACATCATCCTGTAATACCAGTTATTCCAGAGGCTGAAGAAGGAGGATGGCAAGTTTGAGGCCAGCCTGGGAACTCAGCAAGACCCTGTCTCAAAATAAAAAAATAAAAAAGGCTTAGAATGTAGCTCAGTGGTAGAGTGCCCAGGGTTCAATCCCTGGTACTAAAACAAAACCAACCAACCCCCACCCCCCCCAAAAAAAAATCCCAAAATGTTCACCAGTGTCACCCGTGATCTCCATATTGCTAAATACAGCAGCCAATTCCCAATCCTCATTTTATTGACTGGTAGCAGCATTTGGCAGGTTTGGTCACTCTCCCCTCCTTTTTTTGTTTCTTCCTTGTGCAATATTGAACCCAGAGCCTCAAGCATGCTAAGTGCGTGCTCTGCCCTTGAGCAATTATACCCCCATCACCCTTCTTAAAAAAAAAAAAAAATTACAACTCAAAAAAAAAAAAATTAAAGGGGCTGTGGCTGTGGCTCAGTGATAGCACACGTGCTTGGCATGTGTGAGGCACTGGGTTTGATTCTCAGCACCACATATAAATAAATGAAATAAAAGTCTATAAACAATTTTAAAAAATTACCAGTTTCATTGCAACATGGCTATTTTTGTGAGGGCGGGAAGTATGATATTTTTTTTAAAAAAATTTATACTTGTAGATGGACAGAATGCCTTTATTTTATTTGTTTACTTTTATGTGGTGCTGCTGATCAAACACAGTGCCTCACGCATGCTAGGCAAGCACTTTGCTGATGAGCTATATAGCCCCAGCCCAGGGAAGTATGATCTTAAAACAATATTCCATTTAAGGCTGTTTATACAGAAATTACTCTCATAACTGATTATCCAAAATATCTTTAGAGCTGCAAGACTCACATGGTAAACCTCAAACTTTTACACTCATTCAGTAGTGTATGCTCAGAGGAAAACAAAAAGGCATTAATAACAGCTCTTTCTTGGGCTGGGGTTGTAGCTCACTGGCAGAGTGCTTGCCTAACATCTGCGGAGGCACAGGGTTCAGTCCTTAACAACACATAAAAATAAATAAAAATAAAGGTATTGTGTCCTTCTACAACTACCAATATTTAAAAAACAAATAACAGCTATTTCTTTTAAGAAGATATTCAGGTAACAGGTACCAAGTCTTATGGCCTTAAAAGAACATCTAAGACTCACGTGACATATTTGACACCTCTCCTCCATTTCTAATAGAACTTATGAAATTTAACATGGCAGACTAAATTCCTGATTGAATCCCTCCCCCCAGCTGGTTCCTCCCCTTGCAACCATCTCAACTGGTGGCATAACCCATCTTTCCTGGTGTTCAGGTTAAAGGCCTTGGTCTCATCCTAATTCCTCTTTTCCTCTCATATCCATATTCAATCCGTCAGGAATCTGTTGGCTCCATCTTCAAATCACACCCAGAACCTGACCACCTGTCTCTTCCTCCACTGCTACCACCCTGGATTACTATGACAGCCTTCTGATTGGCTCCCTACTTTGACTTCTGTCCACCCCAAGTTCCTTCTTAACCTGGCAGTGGGGTCACCCTTTGAAAGCATGGTCAGAGCATGTTCCACTGCTCAGAATCCTCCAGTAACCTCCTCTCACAGTACAAGTCCCTGCAGTGGCTGGCAGGCCCATCAGTGACTCTCCAACCCCAGCTCCTCCTGCCACCTCCTTCCTCAGCTCTAGCTACTCTTTTCCCTGCCCTTCTTTGGTGTTTTTGGTACTGGAGATTGAACCCAAGGGCAATTTACTACTAGCCACCTTCCAAGCCCTTTTTATGTTTATTTATTTTATCTTTTAAATAATTTAACCTTTATTTATTTGCTTTTATATGGTGCTGAGGATCAAACCCAGTGCCTCATCCATGCTAGGCAAGTGCTCTATCACTGCGCTATAGCCCCAGTGGGTTGTATTTTTTATTTTGAGACAGGGTCTTGCTAAATGGTGATGTGGCTGAGGCTGGTCTTGAACTTGCAGTCCTCCTACTCCTGGACTGCTGGGATTACAGGGGTGCACCACCTCAGCCGGGTTCCCGCTGTTCTTTGAATTCTAGGCTTTTCTCTGCTGACTCCCTCACCTCCACCAAGTTGTGGCTCCAAAGTTACTAGTCTGTGAGGCCTTCTTGACCACCCTACTGAATACTGCACCTCCCATCTACCCCACATTGCCATTCCCCCTTACTCCACTCTACTCTGCCTCCCCTCATATGTAATTTACTTACTCATGTCTATTTTGTACTGTTTCCTATGCCTTACCCCCAACTAGAGCATAATGTTCCTGTTTTTTGTTCATCATTGCAACTCTGGCCCCTTGAACAGTGGCTGACAGAGTACGTGCCCAGTAGAACTGGTGGAATGGGGGATCCCTGGAGCCTGGAATAGTGTGGTATTCAAAACAGGCTAATAACATCATGAATGTAATGGAGATGCTGAGGATTTTATTTAGTCAGAGGAAACTTCCCAGTGCAGAGAGGCTTGGAAGTGAATCTTAAAAGTTGAATCAAGACCTGGGCATGGAGATGCTCGGCTGTAATCCTCCCAGCTCAGAAGGCTGAGACAGGAGGATCACAAGTTCAAAGCCAGCATCAGCAACTTAGCAAAGGCCCTAAGCACTTACTGAGACCCTGTCAGTAAGTGAAATATAAAAAATGCTGGGGATGTGGCACAGTGGTTAAGCACCCTGGATTCAATCCCCCAGTACCAAAAACAAACAAACAAAAAAACATTAAAAAAAAAGTTGAGGGGCTGGGATTGTGGCTCAGGGGTAGAGTGCTCGCCTAGCACGGTCGGGGCCTGTGTTCGATCCTCAGCACCACATAAAAATAAAGGTATTGTGTTGTGTCCATCTACACCCCAAAAAAAAAAAATATATATATATATATATAAAAAGTTGAATCAGGTTTAGAAAAAGAGTGACAGTGACAGGATGTCAGGCTTGAGACTGATGCAGGCACAGCTCTAGAGATGAGGCTTTCTCAGGGGCCTGATAGGAGCTGGTGAAAGCTCCCGTTAGGGGCAATCCCAGTCTCCACTGATTATCAATTAGCAGTGTCCTGGGGAGGGAAATTTGATGGTGCCCGGTCCTCCCCTGCATCCCTTCCCATTCAGCTCACGTGAGGGGTCGCTCTACGCGGCTGCCCTGGCCTCCGATCACTTCTCCTAGAGCCAGGAACGCTTGTCCCAGGAAATCCTGTGCCAAGACACCAGAGTCAGCAAGAAGGGGAAGGGGCCCAGCCCAGTCCTGGGGATGCAGCTGCACTTGACCAGGGTAGTTCTGAGGCGGTGAAGGCCACCGCCCTGCGTGTGCTTTAATGGACCGTGGAGGGAAGAGGTCTGCAGACCAGGTGTGCTTCTTGGTCAGTAACGGGTCCCAGCCCGTTCTCCACAATACCATCCCATCCCCTTGTCCTGCTCTCTCCAGCCTCACCTTCTGCAGGTCCCAGCGCGGCCGAGAAGGAAGAGAAGCAGTGAGTAAGGGGTGTGAGCAGGAAACCCAGGCAGGAGCAGGAGAGTGCAGGAAGAGTAGATTAGGGGCCTCAAGAGGGTAGGTAGGTCGAGGGGTAGGAGAAGTTGAATACATCTGAGTGCCTTTTTGCGCCCTGCCAGCCCACGAGGGGACGCTCGCTTACCGGTTTGGAGATGTTGGTTTTGGAATCGACGTTGTACCTGGGGGAAAAGCGGAACTGGCGTGGGGTGGGCTGGGAGGGAGAGAGGCCAGAAAGGGATCTTGTTGGCTAATATTGGGTGGAGGGAGGGGAAGCCTGGGATCGGAATTCAACTTGGATCTTGGTGGGGGGGGGGCGCTGCTGGGAGCGGAGTCATATGGTAGGGGGCCACCGCCGAGGTGGAGCTAAATTACTGGTTGGGATAGTGGGCAGGGCCGAGTTTGTAGAGTGAGTGAGACTGGATCTGGCCTGGGGGCGAGCTAAGATTAGAGTGGAGCAGTTCAAAGTGGGACCCAGCGCGGCCTGGGGGAGGAGCCAGGCCCGGAGGCGAGGCGGGGGCAGGACCAGCCAGAATTGCAGGCGGATCCAGGTCGGGAGGCGGGTCAAGCCAGAATTCTGGGCGGGGCCTCACACATCGAAGCGCAGATTTTGCTTTTCTTCAAAGAAATAGTCGAGGACGAATTTGCGCACGAAGTCTGGATTCAGCGTGTTGTCAATCACCTCGGTCCGTCCGAACTGGGCGGGGGTACAGAGGATCAGCGCGGGCTGCGCCGGGGGACAGGAGAGGCTCTGGGCTGAAAGGGGGCTGTTGGACTCACCTCCCGCCACTCCTGGCTGGCCCGAGTCTGGGTGTAAAGCACCACCACTGCGGGTGGGGGCGGAAGATGGAAGGACATCAGGTCGGCCCGCACCCCTCCCACCCCTCCCACCCCTCCGCTGCCCCCATCTGCCCCCTGGGTCACGCCCGGATCCCAAGTTTCCCCTCCTGGTCCTGGAGCCTTACTGGGGTCGGACTTGGAGAAGGTGTCGAGGTCTAGCAGATTCCTACAGAAAAGCGACAGACAGACCGACAGAGGGTGAATCATTCTGAAGCCCACCGCCTGGACACTGCCCCGAGTCGGGCATCCGGAGGAGGCATGGGGCTCCAGTCGCACCCACCACCTCCGTTACTACCCCTCAGTGTGTTGCGGGGATGGGGGTGGGGTGGGGGTCGTCAGCGCTGTCAGCACTCTGGACAGCACCAGAAACCTCTGCCCAGGAACCAAACCTCTGCGAACTAGACGCATACGTGCCCACATTGTCTCCAAGAACCCAGAAAAGGGGATTCACCCCAAAACTTTGTCCTCCTAGGGCCCAGCTCCTATCGGATCCCAACGACCCACCCGTTGAGCCAGTCAGTAGACTGAGCCCTCTTGTGGGGTGGGGTTGCCCAAGGAGAGCCCTCCTCGATCCTGCTAGCGACTCCCATCTTCAGCCGTGATCCTATAGTCCCCTTGCCTTTCCCCCCAGAGTCTAGCCTCTATTTGCGCTGAGACCCGCAGCAGCTTGGGGCTGGGGCAGTGCCAGTGCCTAAGCCTCCCCAGCGCGGCCCGCTCACCGGCAGGACACGGTAATTTCAATCTTGGTGGCTGGGACGCTGCGCTCGGTGGCTCCTCCGAGAGACATGGCCGGTCTTGTGGCCGGAGCCGCGGGAGGCTGTAAGACCCCAGCCGCCGGGGCTAGGGGCGGCGGCGGCAGCGGCGAGGCCGGCCCATGTGCCGCCGCAGCGGCGGCGACGGCGGCGACTGTACTCCTTTCAGCACTGCGTGCGCTCCCGCCGCTTGCTCCCTGACAGTGGCCGCCGGCAGCAGTGGCTCCAGATGGCAGCACAGCCCCGCCCGGCCCTGCGGGCGGCCCCCGCCCCATTGGAGCAGACGGGAGCTGGCCGGGAAAATTACCTAGACCCCACTTGCAATCTACACCTTAGGAGATTTGCCTCTCCAGGACGCTGAAACCCAAGCCCCCGGAACTGTCCGTGGTTCTGAACCATTTGGGGTAACTGGTGGGTGTTGGGGTCTTCATCTCTTCCTGAGTTTCTCCCTCAACAAACTGTTTGTCCCTCTCCCTATTCCTGGCTTAACTAGGTCTCTGAATATGAAAAGTTACATTTTTCTTGTTAGCTGTGTGACCTTGGGCATGTTGCTCAACATCTCTATGGCATGGTCTCATTGATGGAAAGGTCATAATAGCAGTTACTTGGGGGACTGTAAAATTTTATCTAGATAACCCAAGGGAAGGATTTGGCACAGAGAAAGTGCTCAATAAATGTTCACTGGGGGGCTGGGTTGTAGCTCAGTGGTGGAGTGCTTGCCTGGCACATGTGAAGCACTGGGTTCGATTCTCAGCAGCACATAAAAATAAATAAAATAAAGGTTTAAATAAATAAATAAATGTGCACTGGTATTACTTGACATTTGAATACTCACACTGATGACCTCTTTCGTGTTAGGAGTCAGATCAGAGGGCTGGGGTGAAGTTCAGATGTGGCACGCTTGCCAAGCATGTGCCAGGCCGTGGATTCCATCCCAGCACCACCAAAAAAAATAAAAATAAAAAGGAGATCAGGAAATGGTGACTTTTAAAAGACTGTACGAACCCTCTGCGCATGCCTTTGAATCCTCTTGATACTGTCATGATGCAGTCTACTCCAGCCCACATATAAAGGAGGGTAGTGGTCACTCAGGCCCTCCCTCTCTGGACATGTACACCAAGTGCTGCTTCCAGAACCCCAGAAGCCAGACCCTCCATCATGGGCAGCTCCTTGGGGCAGGGGCTGTACCAGGCCATGCTGCCTCAGACCTTCTGAAAGATGAAGACCTCCAACCCCAGCAACCCTACAGCTAAACCTCAGCAACACTGGAGTCTGTGCAGACAAACTGGCTCCCCAAGGACCCAGGGTCCACTCAAGCCTGTGAACCACTTCTCCCACTTCAGCTGGGGAGTGCAGGCTCAAGAGTTAGGGGCACAAGAAAGGAGTGAGTGCTCCTTTCTAGGTGGGCCTGGGGGACTCTCTCCCACTCCTGAGTCCATAAAAGGGGAAGCTGTAGGAGAAAGTCAGTGTAGAGGCTGCACCCAGCAAAGGTCACTGGTTTGTCTGCTCTGGAATGGGCACCTCACATGGCATCCACCATCCTGGCAGTTTTAGTCAGCTTTTTCATCCCTGTGACCAAAAGACCCAACAAGAACTATTAGAAAAGGAAGTTTATTTGGTACTCACAGTTTCAGAGAATTCAGTCCATGCCCAGGTTCCAACATTGTCTCACACATGAGCTTTTGGGAGACACCTCATATCCAAACCATAAAACTGGTGTCAAGTTGAGCCAATGTTTACATGACAATGCTCAGATAAGACCTGGAGACTAGGCTGAAATGTCTCCATTGATCTTCTACTAGGAAAGGAGAGCCACCAGGGAGTGGCACCTGAAGAGCCTAAGCTTACTCAGGCCAATTGCTTTTACTCCTAGATGCTGGAGGAGCTGATACCAGGAGTCAGAGGCACCAACATCTGTAAAGAAGTCATGTCCATGCTGCACAAGAGAGGAGTCTGTCCATCCTCACATTTGACTTCAAGTAGCCATGGAGGGCATCCTTGTTGGGACTACCAAAAAGCACAAGATTCTCTCCAAAGAGCAGGTGGTCACTGTTCATGAGTCGGCATCCTTGGCTGGCTGGCTGCTGGAGCACACGGAGGCTGTGGTGAACGCAGGTTGCAGGCCCCAGCACCACAGGACTGACATGGGTGCGAGCTGAGTGCACATGTTGGAAACCTCTTGTGGAGTCATGAACTTGATGAGAACTTATTGCAATTACCGGGGATGGAACCCAGAGGTGTTTTAACACTGTGCCACAGCCCCATCCTTTTTATTTTTTGCAACAGGGTCTAAGTTGTTTAGGGACTTCTGGCTTTGAACTTGTGATCCTCCTGCCTCAGCCTCCTGAGCTGCTAGACATGTGCCATCACACTGTGCCAACTGGTGGTATTATAAGGAGCTTCCAGAAAGTGAGTGGATCATGAATGTAGATTGTTGTTGAGTGACCAATAAGGAAGCTGTGACTATTGGGAAGTGAGTGCCCATTCTCGGTTGAGGGCATGGCTTCCAATTGTACCCTCCAGGAGGACTGGTGTGGCACTGAAACAAGTGGCAGGAGCCTGTGCAGGTGCACCTTGAAAGGGTAGCTACTCTGTGCTCCACCCTCATTTCACACTGCAGAAAAGTAAACTCTGCAGTCAAGGGCCAGCTGCCCCACCAGGGGTAGTTTCTCTGCCTTTTTTAAAAAATATTTTTTTAGTTGTTAATAGACCTTTATTTATTCATTCATTTATATGCAATGCTCAGAATTGAACCCAATGTGTTACACATGTGAGGCAAGCGCTCTACCACTGAGGCATGACCCCAGCCCTCTCTTGCTGCTTTTATAGTTCATGTTACAAAGCAGATTGTTAGTTGCTCATGTCTGAGGAGCAAGACAGACCTTTTATATGCTCGTAAGAGTGCTATAAGGACAATCCTGTGGGACTTGGTCCTGCATGATGTATGCAGTGGTGTTTGGTGTATTCAGCAGTCACTCAGAAGAGAGGCCAGGCCCAGCATGGGGTGATCAGGACAATAATGAAATCAGCAATTAACATAAATATTTAAGAAATTGTAATTAAGATGGGCATGATGGCACATGCCTGTAATCCCAGCTACTTGGGAGGCTAAGGCAGGAGGATCTCAAGTTCAAGGCCAGCCTCAGCTGAGACCCTGTCTGAGACCTCAGCTGTCCTTAGTGAGACCCTGTCTCAAAATTTTAAAAAATGGCTGGCTGTGATACTCAGTGATAAAGCACCCCTGGGTTCAATCCCCAGTATTGCCAAAATGTAAAAATAATAATTAATGTAAAAAATCCATGACAAACCTATGTTAGAATTTTAAATTTCATTTTGTTCTCAGAATTCTCACTTTATTTGATGGCTACAAGTGAGGGAAGACTAGTCACTTGCTGATCTTGTTGTCAGCGCTGTAACAGGCATAGACTGTTATCATAGCCATTAAACTGTCATTTAACTTTGTTAAAAAAGATGATTTAAGGGTACATCCAAGTTTTTAGTTCCCTTCTTTCTTCACCTGGCCCCCCCTCCATCCTACACGAGGTGTTTCTCTACACTGAGAACATTCCCAACAACTCTACAAAGAGAGCAACCAGAAGAGGATGCAAGACAAGGGCTGTTCAAAGACTCTGATTTTATTTTGTGATCTGTGTCAAATAGCCTCATTCTCAGTGCAGGTGGCCCCTCCTCCCCAGGGGACAACTTGGGGTGGGATCCCCTATGAAGTCATGGCCTCCACAGGTCCCAGGGAGACCCACGCAGAGTTGATGGGAATCCTGGCCAAGACCTGGTGGGTGGGAGGCAGTGACTAGATGGGGTGGTGGTCATGTCAGGTAGCTGAGAGCTGGAAAACCCTTTCCTTGGCCCTGCTCAGTTTTGGGACTGCTGTGCATGTGATGGAGAGGGGGTGTGAGATTTTCCCCCAACCTCACAGGACCCCTTGGCCAGGCATGGCTTTGATTCCACTAAGGGCTCAGCTGAGAGAGGAGCAGGAAACGTGTGGGCTGGCTGCTTCACAGGGTGTTGGTGCTGGTGCCCCGCAGTCCCACACCACGGGCAAACTGTTCCAGCAGGCCCCCAATGGCCCCAGAGGGACTGGGGGCTGCTGCCCGAAGCCCCACTGTGCTGCTGTATGCGGCCAAGAAGGCTGAACGCACCTCCTGCAGCCGCGTCTCCCGGGCACTCAGAGCTGCAAGCCTATGGGGAAGGAGGGACAGAAAATGAACGTATTACCCCAGGACAGGATCCAACATCCTCATCCTCTCTCCATATGGCCTATCCTTGAACTTCCGACTGTACAGAGCCAGGATCTACCCCATGGTCGTGTTACCCTTGTGGTTCAGGCTCCAAATATCTGGTGCTAGTTCCTTTAGCCATTCTTCTCACTTTGAGGTTCTCTTCTCACCTTAGAGCAGATCTTTTATTGGAGCACTGACCTGGGCTTTGTGCTGGAAAAATAACTGTCCCTGTGTTGACTGTGATCAGAAAGAAGCTGAGTTTCACAACTCTTGGCTTCTTATTCCTTGGTAAGAACAGGTGAGACACAGCCTTACACCTGGCAGGAAGGAGATCCCCAGGATCTGATAGCAGGCCTCGGCCCTCCTGAGGCAAGGACCTGACACACCCTGGGAAAACTTGCTGGCTGCCCTGGCTGGGACAGGGTCTCCCACTAGAAACGCCTAGACCCTAGCTATATCTTTAGTTCCTGCGGACCCTCACACACTGCTGGAAGAACACCGACTTTTCCAGCACTCTGCTCTGATTCCATCTCTTTCTTCTCCCCTGGCCACGTGGGGCACAGATCACAGACGGAAGATAGAAAGCCCTTCTCTCCTTGCCCTGGGATTACAGGTCAAGAAGGGACACAGTACACAGAAATGGGGGTTTATCAAAGTGTGAATTCCACGGAGGCTGTCTGACATTCTGAAGGGTCAGTCTCTAATAGAAGGGGTCCAAGATATCAACCATACCCAATCTCTGGACTCAAAGCCAGGCACCTGAGTTTGTTCTCCAGGAGTTACACACCTACATGACATGGACCTCACCTACCTCAGCACTTACTCCTAATTTCTTCCCAAGGAACCAATTCCTGGGCAATCCCTCCCTGGGAACCAGTCAGAGGCAGCAGCAATGTCCCCAGTTCTGAAGCCCAAAATACTTGTACCCCAGGGCTTGGGGGAACAGATGGAGGTCTGAATAAATGATAGTATGGGGAGGACAAAAGGATCCTAGAGAAATAGACTGGTAGGAGTGATATGTGAGAGAAGCAGCAGGCTCTGGGGCCTGGGAAAGTCACACAGCTCTTGCAGGAGCACTGAGAAATGAGCCAATGCTGGATTCCTGCACGCCGCGAGCAACACTGACGAACCTGAGGGCACCTGACCTTTTCTTTTTTTCCCAGGACTGGGGATGGAACCCAGGGCCTCACGTATGCTAGGCAAGTGCTCTGCCACTGAGCTGACCCCCATCCCCAGACCTTTATTTTCTAGTCAGGTTTCACAGCTGGAGGCCACGTGTGTCCCCACAGCTGCTCCTTATGGCATAAGTGGAGGAATAGATTAGTTTGTCTTGACAAAGAACATCCGAAGGTCCACACATATGCACTCTCACTGCCCCCCACTTGTGGGAAGTAGAAGGGGCAGAGACCAACCTATTTAGAGACAAGAAAAGTGGAGCCCGGAGAAGATACATGACTGGCTTGGGGATACATCACAGGCCATGGTGATAGCGCAGCACCATTCCTCAAGAGCTGGGCTGATGGGCTCAGAGAAGTCAAGGCCAAGACCTCAAGACACAGCTGGTGAGCATAGCAACTAGTTTCTCTGTTAACAAAGCCCAAGTCACTGAACCCACATACTACGGGACTTTGCCGCCAGGAGCTGCTCTGGAACCCAACCAAGGATCCTGGAGGCCTAGAGATCAAGTGGGGTCTAGCTGTCCTCTAGGAACTTCCTAGAATTGGCAGGTTGGCTGAAGCCTAAGAGTACACCCTGAGGCCTGATCTGCAGGTATGGGCTGGGTACTTGGGGCTGGGGTTGGAGCTGCCTGACTCAGTGGGTAAGACCTGGGAATTTCAGGGTGCAATCAAGCAGAGCAGGCAGGGCTTCCTCCAAAGATGGCGCTGCGGTCAGCTGGGCTGAAGAGGAAGTCCTTACAGAAATAGGCAAGTATTTTTTTATCCTTCAGAAACCTAACAGAACTTGCTTCTAGCCTAGGGGCCTGGCTGCAGAGGAAGCTGAATGCCTAGTGGCCTTGAAAGCCCTTCAGTGACTTCTCAGCTTCAGAGCCAGGACCGGGGAATGCCATTCTGGAATTGCAAGGTCTGACTGGCTCATGTCAGACTTAAGCTGGGATCCCAGGCTCCTCCTCCTTTCCAGCTCCTCTAGCCTGCCAGCATGGGAGGGTACAGAGTTGAATTCTGGTGCTTATGGTGGGGTGAGTCCCTAGCACCTGGAATGGAGGAGAGGGATAGGCTTTCTGAGGAACCCCCAGGGAGGCCACATCTGAGGAGCAGGCCCTGCTCCCCAGGGCACCAGAGGCTCTCTCCTGCCTGATATCCATGAAGTCGCAGAGCAGGAAGGGGTCAGGGGGTTCCCCCAAAACAGCTGTTAAAGTCTGAGGGCTGCATTACAAGAGTGAGAAGCCCAATATTGGAGCCCTCAAAGAAGAGCGTTTCACAGGCTGGGATCTATTTCCCATTTAATCCTCTTTCTTGCCCAGAGGCAGAAGTGGAAGACAAGGTGGGGGCAGTGGACAGCAAGCAGCCTTTGGTTCTGCCTAGAGGAGCACAGACCAGGCTGACCCGGTGTCATTCTGGCTCTGCCTCCAGCATACACCTACCTTCCTGCCCCACTGTTCTGCTTTCAAAGGATCTGCATGTCAGATGAAGCTTTGGACAGAAATAGAACCTGCCATAGTCACAGTCCAGCCAGCTTTCCCTCAGGGTGCACCCGACACACCCATGGATGGGTTCTGGTGGCTGGGAAGAGTGAACAGGAACCCAATGCACTTCCTTAGCAGCCCATGGGCCTTCTTTACACCTGGGGTCTGTAGCTGCAAATGGGGAGGGGCAGGGACCCAGCCAACTCCCTGGCTGGCCTCTGCCTCACTCTTAAGCAGCACTCCTGACTGCTCCCCAGTTTCTGATACAGGCAGGGAAGCATCCTGCCTCAAGCAAGACACTTACAGACAACTGTTAGGGAGCTCATCCGGGAAGCTGAAAGGGAGAGAGGAGTCTGTGTGCAGGACAGCCCGTTCCTGAATACTGCCACAGCCCGTTACCATCTGCCAGCTGCCAAAGTCTGTGGAGAGAGAGGATCCGGGCAGGGGATGGTCCACTGATCTGGGGCAGAGAGGAGAGAGAGGGGAGATGATGCAGTCAGTCATATGCCTCAGAGAGAGGCCCTGGTGGGAGGGGGCTGGTGTCCTGGGCCACAGCTGCAGGGATCTGTTGGAGTGTCCAAAAGCCAACCACTGTCTCCAAAAGAGCAAACAAAGCTGGATAAGTAGTGACCAAGAAAGAAGAGCAGATTGTAAGGCAGGACTGGCTGTGCGCACAGTGCATTCTGTAGACTTCCAGAGGCAAAAGAACCAGAGCAAAGCATGGGGAGAGGTGAGCTGGATCCAGAGCCAGGGTGGATACCTGCCTGGGCCCAGATAGCAAGCAGTCTCAACAGCACCAAGAGGAAGGGAGCAAGGCCGGTTGCCCAGGAAACAAGGGAAGCAGGGGCCCACCACTCTGACATGCAGATTTACAAGGGGGCAACACAGAACCCAGAGCTGCCGAGATCTGATGAGGGAAGAGGGAGAACAGGCCTTGTGGGGACTGTGGAGGGTGGTGACCTAGATTCAAGACAGGCTGGGAGTCCTGAGGTACCCCCTTCCTGTGCAGTGCCTTCTGGGAGCCATGGTTTGTATTCAGAAGCATCAACCCAGCAAACTCACTGGCTATGCCCAGAGGGCAAGGTGAATCAGGGAGGCACCCTGACAGCTTCATCAGAACTGTTTCTAATGGAGGCTGAGAGGACAAAGTCGTGCCCCCAACGGCACCTTCCCTCACTCCCAGACAACCCAACTTCTCTGTCCTGGGTGTGATGGGGTCAGAGAGGAAAACATAAGCCCTGCCTTTCCATCAGCTACCCCAGCTCCTGGAACCCAGAGGGGCATCCTATTTGATGCTCGACCCTTTATTCTTTAACTCAAGAAAAGTGGAAAGCGCTCCTGCAGGGACCCACTGAGAGGCCAAAGCACACACTGTGGTAGGGTCTGAGGACCTTGGCCTACAGAGCTGGCTGGCATCGAGAGTAACAGCCCCCACTAGTCCTTGGGCTAGCCTTACCCCCAAGAAACTGCCACCTGAGTGCAGCTCTGGACATCTTTAACCATCTCCTTACAGATGGGGAAATAGCAGCCTAGACAGATTAAGACACTTGCCCAGGGTCCCACAGCTAGTAAGTGCAAGAGATTTTTTTTGATTGCAGATTTGTCCTGAAACAGAACCACCTTGAGAGGAACAAGAACAGATGGCTTTTTACGTTAAAGCTGCCATGAGTCGGAACCCCCAGCAACATACAGACTTGCAACATTCATCATTCCGGTGACAATCCAGACGTGTGTGATGGCACCATTAGGAAAGAGCATGGGACAGGCTGTTACCTGATTTGAGCCCCTGGGGCCTGACAGAGCAGGGCTTCCTTGTTTCTAGATGGAGAAGCCTAGCGGGGTGCAGGCAGTCTGTAAATCAAGGAGAAGCCTCCCGGGAGGAACCTGCCTTAGGCTTCCTCCAGGCCACCAGGGCCTCTGGCCAGGGCAACCCCTCTTGAGGCGCTGCCTGGCTCATCAGTCTCATCTATCATTCAAACTGTAGGTAGAATGTCTTTTCCAGTTTCAGCAGCTTGTGAGAAAATAGTCTCTAGCAACCAGTGTGGAGGGAAAGGAAGGGCTGCTGACTAGGGGAAGCCAGGGGAGGACACAGCGCTCCAGAGGCAGGGAACCTGGGGACATTTCTTCTGCCCCTCTCCACAGGCTATCAAGAACAAACTGCCCAAGGGGATCCACAGTCACCAGGATATGGTTAGCCAGGTTCCCTGTGAGGACTCCTGGCCCCAGGTTAGTCGCTTCCCCAGTGTCCCAGCAGCAACACAGGCAAGAAGCCAACTGGAACCAGATGACTGGTTAGCGTGGGCAGTAGAGGGTGTGTGACCCCACGGGACCCAGTGGCTCTCAGAGAGCAGTCACCTTTGGTGGATATTGACATTTTTCAAGAATGAACACAGATTCCAGAATAATCTTCCTATTTGAGGCTTTTGTCAAAGAATGGTGGCAGAGTGACCAATCAGCTCCTGGGTTTGAGAGCAAGAGGCCATGCTGAGCAGAGGGGTGCTCAAAAGGACATCTGGGAGCTGGGGTTGTGGCTCAGTAGTACAGCGCTTGCCTAGCATATGTGAGGCACTGGGTTCAATTCTCAGCACCACATATAAATAAATGAACAAAATAAGGGCCCATCAATGTCTAAAAAAATATTAAAAAAAAAAAAAAGGACATGTGGATCAGCTGGCAAGTGGGGACATTATGGGATACTGGAAATAGTCACGAAAGAGAGACACCACTTTCATATTGGAAGGGAGGAGCATACAGGTTAACTCTGCCAACTTTACTGAGACCCTAGGCTCTTCTGCCCTGTGCTCCTAAGCCAGTGGGCAGTGGCTCTGCCTCCTCCTCTCTCCTACTCCAGGACTACAAAGAACATGTGACTGAGCAACCCTCAAATGGGGGTAGGGATGGCAATGGTACTAGAGAAAGCATCTGCCCACATCCTAGGGGCTCAAAACTGCCCAGGAGGGTGGCTGCTGGCAATACTGCCTTCCCTTAGCTGGATACAGTCCTGGGCTCTTTTTCAGTGTGCAGAGAGCTTTAGCTCCTCACCTCCTGCCAGAAGCCCTGCAGAAGGCTACTTACAGCAGGTGTCTTGTGTCTGTCCTTCAGGAAAGAGGTCCAAGAACATGGATATGAGCAGAGCTGGCCAAACCCATGTGAGAAGGGGGTCTGGGTGGAGGCCTTGCTTTGCCTTTCACCCAGCTGCCCAATGCCCTGACATGGATCAGGCTTTCAGATTCATGACCAAAGCGTATATGTCTTTAACCACAGCTAGTATACCAGACATTTGTGGAAAGGTAAGTATTCACTATATGTAAGATACTTCACTCCATTATCTCATTTAACCCAAACTTATAGGGACCAGGATCATTATTCCTACTTTAAAAATGGAATTAAACAAACAAACAAAAAATGTGAACTCAGAAGGGAAGTGAGTTTTTCCAAGTTACACAGCAGGGAAGAGAAAAACTGACTGGAATCAGGTGTGACCAAAGTCCATCCTAGGCAATATTACTGACCTTCCTTCTTAATAAAGTGCAGGGCCTCAAGAACTGGCTGAGGGATGGTTGCACTGCCCCTAACTGAAGTAAAGCACAGAGCTTTTAATCCATGTTTAGAAAAAGACCCTGAGAAAAGATCCGAGAAAGGAAGCTAGGGATTGTCCTAGGAGGTGCTGGGAGCCATACTGTGGTTATGAAGGAAGCTGGCCAGAGGACAAGCTGGAATGTGAAGGAGGCAAGGGAAGGAACCACAGGGAAATGGAGCAGGAACCTTGATAAAGCTGAATCCGATGGCTGCATTTCCACTGGACTTTTTCATGTGTTTCCTTTATTTTTAAACTATTTGGGATGTTTTCTATTACTATTACTAGTTTTCTATTACTTGCATCTGAACACATCAGTACTGAAAAGACTGCCATAGAAGGCCTGAAGGTACACAGCTAGGAAGCACCTTGGAGTTGCCTATTCTAAGTCTTTGATTACGTAGATGAAAAAATAAAAATTCAAAGTCATCAAGTGACATGTCTAAAGTCAGGAAGGGAATTTGTGTTTGAATCAACTCCTGCAATCCTAGGCTTCGAGGGAGCTCATGTGTCATCTAATTCATTTATCCTCAACACCAATCTCCAAGTCTACCTTAGATGGTTCCTGATGAGGGCCCCACAGCCACTCTGCCCATCAGGAATGGGGCCTCCCCCAGCCTGGCCTTATAAACACTGCATCTGGATCCCCACCAAGGACTTCTATATTCCTGTGACAGCCTCAGACAAGTCTTTTGGGGCCCCAAGTTTTCTCTTCCAAGTCTCAAGCTTGGACTGCCTTTAGGCTTCTCATTACTCCAGTCAGATCTGGAGCAGTGGCCCCAGGCAAGAGCAGTCAGACTGGAGCAGGAACTCAGGTGTGGCAGAGAGTAGCCTGGCTTCTCTGCCTCATAAAGACAGTGGCGCACACCAATAAACCTAGCTACTTGGGAGGCTGAGGCAGGAGGATCACAAGTTCAAGGCAACTTAGCGAGATCCTGTCTCATAATTAACTACACCACAGTGAATCTATCCATCATGTACATCCACAAGACTGGGGTCCTAATTAGAATAAAATATATTCCATGCTTGTATAATTATATCAAAATGGACTCCACTGTCATGTATAACCAAAAAGAATTAATAAAAAATCAGGGGCTGAGGATGTGGCTCAAGTGGTAGCGTGCTCGTCTGGCATGCGTGCGGCCCGGGTTCGATCCTCAGCACCACATACAAACAAAGATGTTGTGTCCGCCAAAAAGCTAAAAAATAAATATTTAAAAAAAAAAAATCAGCTAAATATAGACAGTCTGGAACAGAGGTCACTGTTTACAATGAGAAGTTGGCAGGGGGCAGTGGCTGAGGGCAGCTAACTGGGTAGCTGAGGTTGATTCCTGTGTTGCCACTTAACTATTCAACCAGAATGGTGGGTGTCCCTCAGCCCAGTCCACGTGCTCTCTCAGTCAGTGTGGCTTCACACTGGGCTCAGTGAGGGCACCATCCCTCCTCGGCATGGAAAACCCTGGCTAGCAACTGCCCTTCCCCCAAAGGACATCTGACACCAGACATGCAGGGTTGCAGCAGGGCGACTTTTTGACCAGCGCTTGGGGAGGCATGTGAGCGTGGAGCATTAGTTTTGCACCTCCCTAGCCCTGTGGCTAATCTGCAGTGGCAGCTAATAATACCAAACGGCCACCAATTCTCCCATTGATGGATGTGGAGTTGGGGCTTGAGAGGAATCAGCACCCCACAGAACTTTCCTCCCAACCATACGACTCCTATAACTTAAGGGAACAAAACCTCTCTGGCTCCTTTCTTAGGGCAGCCTGACTTTAAAAGACAGGCCTGGGGAATATGGAGCATATAAAAACCAGAGAATTCACATTGTGAGGGGAACTCTGGCTGTCACAGCTTCAGCACAGGTTTCTTTCCATACAGCTCCTCCTGCCGCATTAAAGCCCTGATTGGTTACTGTTGCCTAAGAGGCACAAAAGCTAATGACAGGATCCCTCAGGCACTTCAAGATAAAAGAGACTAAATTAATTTTAATGTTAATAGAAATACATAATTAGAATGCTCCAAATCCAAATAATCTAGTCTTTCAAACCTCTGGCAAGGGGCTGGGGGTGTGGCTCAGAGGTAGATCACTTGCCTAGAATATATGAGGCCCTGGGCTCTAGCCCCAGCACTGGGGGGAAAAAAAAACCTCTAGCAAACAGACATTTAATTCAGAAGAACCCTGTTGCTTGGCCAGCCCCACCAAGCTCCAGGCAGCCACTCCCAGAATAGACCAGAAAAGGATCAAATACCTCGCAACAGCCTGCCCCTTGCCTTTTAGAGCCTTGCGTCTACTTTGGTCCAGCCATGCTGGCCTTGGCCTGGCCCCACCATGCAGAGTTATTAGGCCAGGTAGACACCCTAAACCCTCCTGAGCCTCCAGAGGGAGGGACCCTGGTGGCCACTAGACCAGCCGTAAGAGTCTAAGAGTCCATCACATTCTAGCTGGGTGTGATAGCACATTTCTATAACCCTAGTGACTTTGGAGAAGAGGCAGGAGGATGGCAAGTTCAAGGCCAGCCTCAGCAACTTAGCAAGACTGTCTCAAAATAAAAAGGGCTGGGGATGTGGTTCAGTGGTAAAGCATCCCTGTATTCAATCCCCAGTACCAAAAACTAAAGTTCAAGTTACTCAATGCTGGCAGATGACTACTCAAGAGACTGAAGGAAACTGTCACAGGGTTGGAAAGTGGGATCCTTTGGCAGGAAGAAGGGGATGACAAAAAGTTGAGGTGTGGGAATGGTGCTGAAGGACTCCTTGCAGAGGGGAGTTAGGACTGGGGTGGGAGCCAGATGCTAAGAGCAAGCTCCTGGTCTCCTCCCCAGTTGTCCAATAACCCTATACAGGCAGAAATGGAGTCAGGGACCGTGAGCAAGAGCTGTAGCCAAGAGCTGGACCCCACAGTGCCACCACGGCCCCAGAACAGCTTTGAGGGCAGACATGGGGGCATGCAACAGGCACACATGCCAACCCCACACACAGGATGTAAGTAGGCACTCAGCTGCAGCCACCACACCCCCTGTGGGGCACAAGGCTGTGGTCCTGCTCAAACCAACTGAGCTCTGGCACTTGCAGACAGTGTCCTGAGTAGAAGGGCTCTCCTGCAGGGATGAGTGCTCAGTAGGAGCAGTCAGGGCCTCCACCTTGCTTGGAACTCACCAGCTGCCTCCATGTGAAGGCTGCTCCAGATGCTCTTCCTCTACTGCCTACTTTTGTCCAAAAGCTCCCAGAGAGTGGTGATGGGAAGAGGGTTTCAGAAGTTTTAAGATGATTTTCACTGTAATAGGCCTGTTATCAAGGAGGAAACTGAGTCCCCAAATCACATGTACATTAAGTGGCACAGAAGGACCTGAATCTGGGATAGACTCCAAAGCTTAGGCCTGTTCTTCTAAAAGTCCCTTTCAACTGGATTTTTTTTTTTTTTTTTTTTGTAATGGAGATTGAACCCAGGGGTGCTTAACCACTGCGCCACATCCCCAGTCCCCACTCACCACTTTTTATAGAATTTGTTTATTTTTATGCGGTGCTAAGGATTGATCCCAGTGCCTCAAACATGTTTGGCAAGTGCTCTATCACCGAGCCACAACCCTAGCTTCCCAGTCCTTTTTATATTATATTTTGAGGCATGGTCTCACTAAGTTACTTAGGGTCTTGCTAAATTGTTGAAGCTGGCTTTGAACTCACACCCACCTCAACTGGAACTTTTTGAGTTCTCTTAAGTCTACATTGCTTTTTTCTTTCCAGAAGGGCTAGATATTCTCAAAGTTTTAGAAAGAAAAGCAATTGACAGACATAGTGGCACCTGCCTGTAATCCCAGTAACTCAGGAGGCTGAGGCAGGAGGATCACAAGTTCAAGGCTAGCCTCTGCAACTTGGCAAGACCCTAAGCTTCTTAGGAAGACTCTTGTCTCAAAGTATAAAATAAAAAAAGGTTAGGGGATGTGAGGCAATCCAACGCCCTTCAATGGTAGAGCACCCTTGTGTTCAATTCCTAGTTTAAAACAAAAACAAAAGCAAAGCAATTCACAGCATTCTTTCCTTGGGGATACGAAATGAAAAATGTGGTTCAGAGTCAACTAGGGAATGCTCTCCCCAAGTGCCAGATCATTCTTCAATCCTAGGCCTTTGGCCTGGTGCTCAGATTCAACCTCTCAAGAAGCGCCACCCCCGGTAGAACACTCTGGCCATATCTCAGGTGCATTCACCCTGTCTGACTGAGCTGCTCCTTTTCCCAGATGTGTTTTGTCACCTATGGCTAGTCAGTGTTACACACTTCTAGTCCAGTTCCTAGCATTTGCTCTCTTCATTGCCCAACCAACTTGTAATGGAATGTGAGAGCCAGAAAGGACCTAGAGCATCCAGATCCATCTCTTCAGTCACAATGGGCAGTCCACAGCGGGTAGAATTTACCCAAGGGGATATGTGGAGGTAGCCCCAACTCCCTGTCTGTGTTATCCAACCACTATACGTTCTGGATTCCCCTGGATTTGAGATATGCTCCAGGAAGGTATCTCAAACCTCTCTATAAACCAGCCCTTGCTTTGTGCCCAAACACTAACACATTCTCCAAATACTGCACCTGCCAAATTCTCCACATCCACATCCCCAGTCTCTGAGGTCTACTGCCTGCAGGCATCACACAGGAATCCCACCTAATACACTGGCTCAAGTACCAGAAGCCCACCTCCAGGCTTGTTATGGGGAGGCTAGCCACCTCCACTAGCAGGGGTGTTGGGAGTGCCTCACCTGGGTTTGGGGACTTCCAGTGGACTGCTACCCATCCTGAAGAAGTTGTCAGAATGGTTTGAAGACGAGGAGCTGGAAGACTTGGCTTCAACCAGCCCCGGGTGGGAAGGCAGGCGGTCCTCGGAGGGCTGTGGCCGGTTCCAGAGCACACTCTGTGGAGAGGACGAGTGATTCTTCCTCCTGTGGCGGGAGAGTGGGGCTACTGGCCAAGGCACCCTGACACTGTTCCTGTGCCTGGGGCCTGCTTTCGTTATTCTAGGACAGTGCTGAAGGAATGGATACACACAGGGCATTCCCTCAGGCTCAGGGGCACAGGAAGCCAGAGCTAGGGCTTTACCGAGGGACCATGGTATTCAAATTACACTGGCCTACCAGTCTCAGAGAACATACCAGAAAATCATTCTTAACTAACAGCTCAGTGACTGCCTCTCCCCATCCCTGGAAATGCTATATAAAACCCCGAGCCACTTGTGTAGGAAAGGAGTCGCCAGGGTCTCAGATTCCTTCACAAAGAAGTGAACCTCATACAAATTCCCAATTGCTAAACATCACCTGCAATGGCATTTTGCTTTTTTCCTAACACCCCCCCACCCCCAACACACACATGGTGCAGGATGCTCCTCTAGGGCCTGACACCAGCCTCCTACTCCTGCTGGCCACAGCTGCTTGGTCCCACAGGGAGCCCCTATGCTCTGGGGCCACCATAGGCAGTGCCCCTCACCAACCAGATGGCTGGCCTCTGAGGCCCAATATAGACAGCATGAGATGAAGCTGAGCTCTCAGGCCTCCTATCAGAGGCTCCTTTGTTCTTGGGACTCTAGTCTGGCTCCCTGGGGCTGGTGGCCCTGGCCACAGCTGTGAGTGATCCTGGTCCCAGTCTGGCCCCTCACCAAGCTGCCTGAGTCTGTGCTCCTGCCGGAATCAGCTCCATGGCCTCATAGGTGAAGCTCCCTGCGGCTCCTGGGGAGCTCTCCATGACTAGGGAGAAGTCACTGCCAAGGCTGGTGGTGCTGCCACGGTCCCTTCGTCCTGAAAAAAGCCAGTGCCACTGGTCAGTGTGTCATCTTCTCTTGCTACCAGTCCCTCACCTCTTCCACACCATTCAGCTGGACAAAGAAACTTCTAGAATGGTTCCTGTGTAGTCTATAATCAGAAAGCTGTGCTGAGGAAGGAAAAGCGGCTGGGCCAGGACTCACTCAGCATGCAGATGTCTTCCACAGTGAAGCCTGCGTCCCGGGCTGGCAAACTCTTCCTCCTGTGACAGAACCCAGAGCAGGGAACGCCAGCTCTAGCTGGGGTCTCTTCTTTCCCAACCCCGCCCATCCTGAAAAGCAGCCAGAGCCCACCGACAACTCATGGAGTAGGTCCTACCTACAGAGAGTTGTACCCTACCTGCTCTGTCTACCACACATTCCCCAGACCAGCACAGCTGGCCTCCTCTTAATCTGCTTGGCCCTTGAGAGCTCAAGTCTGGCCCAGCATACTAGAAGTTTGGATTAGGAAGGCAAATTAACTCAGAAGAGACATCAGCTCTCGAAGGGGCCTTAAAGCAATTGCCAGTCCATCTGCCTGTATTTCCCAGATCTCTGCCTCATTGTGGGCACAGAGAGGCTCCTGCAAGGGTCTGGGGCAGTGACAATCAGCTCAGAGGCATGGGGAGCTAGGAGTCTGTCCCTAGGATGACTTTTCCCTACAGCAACTTAGTCACCAGAGGCCATTCATCACCCCAGAGCCTTTCTGCTAGTGTGACCTCAACATGGCCTCCCCTGTGGAAGACTTCTTCCTTCAGGGGCTGTCAGCAGGCACCCGACCCTGGCCTCAGAGGGAAGGTGGCCGGGTAGCAGCAGGGAAGAAATAAGGCAGCGAGGGCCTCCTATGGTGGAACAGTGCTCCTCTGCTTACCTTTGGGTCTTCAGAGCAGAGAACTCCTCGGAGGTGATATGCTTCAAAAAATTGAAGCAGAAGAAGAAAATCTGAAGGGGAGACAAATAGCAGCACTCAGTGAGAAGATGGCTATTCCCTGCAAGAAGTGTCGGGGTGGCAGATCTAACAGGAGTGGGCAGCGCACTCTCTCTGGTCAATCTTCCTGCTGGACAGTGGCCTGCTTTAGGGATCCCAGTGGATACTCTGGTCTACAGGAGCTGTGGGGCAGGTGATAGAGGGGCTCAGGAGGGCCTGCCACATGCTTCTGGGCTAGTCTATGGCAGAAAGGAATATGTTCCCTTCCTGGGAGTGTGAAGAGTCAAGCCTGAGACTTCAAACTGTCCAGGAGGATGAGAGAACAGAATCTTTCTCTTCCTCACCTCTAGGAGCCTAAGGAGAAAGGCTGACAGGGAAGTTGATCTGGGGCAGGGGATTAATGGACACAGCAGGAACACAAGGGAAGGGAATGGATCCCATGGAATGGGGAGGTGCCCAGAAACAGGCTGGGATGACTGGTATGGGGACAGCCACAGAGTGGCCCACAGCCTGCCCTGCTGACGAGCTGTTAAGGGCCAGTTCTTAGGTTTCAGGCAGGTAAAGGCAAGGGTTTCACAGAACTTCCTCAAGAGGCAGAAGGTTGTCAAGGTCAGACCAGTGTGAAAATGCTGTGTTACATAAAATTTAAAAAGTATTTTCACCAGATTCCTCTGTCTGATGTGCTCTGTGAACATCAAAGGCAGTGGAGAGGACAACAATGTCTCACAGGCCTGGAATTTTTGTTTGTTTTAAAGATTCAGTGTCTACAGGGTGTGGGGAGCTAAGAGATGGGGAGCTAAGAGAAAAGCCTATTCTGAAGACCAACCTCCCAGCTTAAGTGTCACTCCTGCTCAGAAGCCAAGGGTTTAAGCTCAGCCCTGTCTTTGCCTGAGTCTCTGAAGGCAGATTCAGACTTGCTCTGGAGGGAGGAGGGAGATGGTGTGGAGGACAGAATGTCCTGAAGTGCCGGCAAGGCAAAGTCCCTTAACAAGAGGATACAAAGAGGCCTTCCACCCAGATTTCAATGCTGAAGTCACTGCCTCTGATAGAGTTCCTGGAGGCCTCTGAGGAACAGGCTTATGAGCTCTGCAGCCCTGGCAGATGTGATAAGTGCTCAGAAGAAGGGATTTGGAAGGGAGAGGAGCAGCTGAGAGGGAGGAACAAAAGAAGGAGGTGTGAGATAAGATGCCAAAAAGGAGAAAGGCTCAGGATAAGAAAGATGCTTTAAGAAGATTGCAGGACAGGGGCAGAAGAGAAAGCACTAACCCTGTGGATGCTCCCATGCTGGGCATCTGGGTCTCTCAATGAGGCATAAGAAGACTCAAGGATAAACATGTTGCCCAAGGTCACCCAGGTAATAATCAAGACAAACAGGGCACACTGGTGTCTGGCTCCAGGTTTGCTATTGGGGAAACAAGCATGCTCAGCAGGAAAAGATGGTGGAAACAGAGGAAGGAGGGAAAGAAGGTATTGAGGAGGAAGGACAGGAAGAGGACCTGCAGGAGGCCCCAGAAGTGAGGCTCCAAGCAGGACTGTGTGCTCAGACCACCTTGGGGATGAAAAGGGATGAGGTGGGTATAATGGGATAAGGAAGGACAGAGCCAGGTATGGTGGCACACACCTGTAATCCAGGGGCAGGGGCTTGGGAGGCGGAGGTAGGAGGATTGCAAATTCAAGGCCAGCCTCAACAATTTACCAAGGACCTAAGAAACTCAGCAAGACCTTGCCTTTAAATAAAATATAAAAAAGGGCTGGGGATGTGGCTCAGTAGTTAAGCATCCTTGGGTTCAATCCCTGGTACAAAAGGGGGGAAAAAAAAGAAAGAAAAGGTGGGGTGGTGGGGGGAGAGGGAGAGAGAGATAGGTAGACAGAGAGCTTGTTTTTCAGCTGGGAGGATGAGGAACAGGAAGAGGACTTGCATGTTGGTTTCAGAGCTAAGAGTAGAAAACAAGTAAACAGTGGAGAGAAGCGGCACCTGAAGGCCACATGAGGCTGCATATCGCTGGCAGAGCTGAGCACCCAGCATTTTCTCCCACTGTGTAGGAGACCCCAGGACCAGTATGGAGGTGGGGGGCAGCCACTATGCTTTTGCTTTTGCCATGCTGCCTGAGGCATGGCCCATACAGTGCGGCACGCAAGCAGACTGTCATTCTGTCTCTTGTGTCAGCCCGGTTCCCTGTTCACAGCCTGTGAACGGCACTCACCTCCTCTCCTTTGCTGAGCCGATCTACCAACATGTGCCTGAAAAAGGAAGTTAAAAGGTCAAAGGTAATAGCACCGAGATGAGGGCTGAGGGGCATCTGGTCATCATGGACAGACCACATCTTTGACAACAGTGCACTGAGTGGGGCCCATGTGCATCTTTAGCCCTTCTCCAAGGGACCCCTGTCATGGGAGATGCCACATCACTCACTACAGAAAGAGTCACCGAGACACCATCCCACCCAAAGCCTCCAAGGATGTTTCTCCAAGGCTTACCCAAAGAGGAACCAGTCATAGGCCACAGTTAGGTAGAGGATCTCAGCAGGCTTCAGAGACGTGTGGATGAGCCCATCCTGGAAGATAGCATGCGGGCACAAGATCAGAACTGCCGTACGGTGATGAACCTCCTCAGCCGAGGAACAGACCCACAGTCACAGACCTGGTGACAATGCAGGATGACCAACAACCCTAAGACCAGGGCTAAATACAACACCTGCTGAGTGGGTCCCTCACCCCTGATCTTGCATCCTGGAGACAAATGTACACCAGGGCCTCTGAATGCTCCCAGACCCCAGAGCCCAGCCCGTCCATACTCACAGCCCACAAGGAAAGGCGCAGGAGAGAGATGAAGAGGGGGGTCCGATCCCAGCCTGAGATACAGTGCACCAGCAGCCCGCTGTCATCTAATCAGACACCATGGAACAGGAGCCCAGGAGAGAACCAGACAGGGGCTGATGAGAAGGGAATACCACCACACCGGCTAGGGGAGGGAGCCAGGCCACCCCAGCCGTCTTCCCAGGGGTCTCCCTAGTGCTTTTCCCCAACCTAGGCCTAGACAGGGGCAGCTAGAGGATAGCTGTCCTGGTCTGCAACATCCTTCTCCTGGCTACAGTTCTTGGTGTGCCTCCAGGGAGGTATTCACCCTAGACAGTTCACACTGCCCAGGGAATTTGGGTAGTGCTGATTACAGGTCCCTGCCCAGCATTTGGCTGGGGGACACAAATACTTGGGGAAGGCAGGAGCTTTTTTGTTCTTTTTCTTGGGAGAGATAAAGATAAACTCTTCACTGTGCATGGCTATAGGAACTGTAGAGTACTCTGGACCAATACCCAGTTCCCCAAACTCTTTTTTTTTTTTTTAAAGACAGAGAGAGAGAGAATGAATTTTAATATTTAGTTTTTTAGTTTTCGGTGGACACAACATCTTTGATTGTATGTGGTGCTGAGGATCGAACCCGGGCCGCATGCATGCCAGGCGAGCGCGCTACCGCTTGAGCCACATCCCCAGCCTGCTCCCCAAACTCTTGAGACGACCTCCACAAGCCCTTTGAGGGATGGCACTGCCCCAGCCAGAGCCACTGCCCAGCTCCAGGGGACAGCATGAGACTTTTTCTTCCTTCTTTTCTAAATACACACCCCATCTGGGCACAGTGATCAAGTTCAAGCATGGCACTTGACCCAAACTGGACCAATGAGCATGTCTCTCCCCTCTGGGGAACTTAGGCAGCAGGAGAAGAGTGTGGAATAGCTGCCAGCCGTGAAGCTAACGAGATGGTGATTTTGAGAAATGCAGAGAGATCCTTTATGATATTCATTAGACATCTGGCTCTGCTCACAGGCCTTCTCAGTTCCATGTGCCAATATGTTTCTTCTCATTCAGGCAGGAATCAGAAGTCCTGATTGCTACCAAGGAGTTAAGGGTTGGCTCTGGAGATGCTGAACAAAACAGGCTCACCCAACTGGTATCCCAAGAACAGGCCCTCCACAGGCTTAGGTACACTGGAGAAGCAGCTAGTACTTATTTGGGTATCTCAAGTCTTATCCTTTTGGATTAGAAGCCCATTCTAGCCTCAGACACAATCCAATGTGCACAATTCAAAGGCCACCTGAGCCAGTGCACTGCCTCGTGTATGGCTCAGATGCTAATAAGATAATTTTGACTTCTAGGGTTTTAAGAACTAAGGATGCCAATGGACAAATCCCACCCAGTCTGTGGGATTCTAGGGAACCCCCAAATCCCTCTCCCACAATACAAATGGTGGGTGTGCAACCCTGAAAAATACTCCAGCCTGGGTGTCATGAACTGGGAACACCCAGAAGATACAATGGCTTGAGGGTTCAAGGAAGATGAGACTCACCATCGCTATTGACTATGGAGAGCAGCAATTTCAGGTAGTTTTGTGTCTGTTGCACCAGGTCCCAACTCTGTTGGACAAGACAAAGGAAAGGGGAATAGGGACATATTAACTCAGACTGGGAACTTAAAGTATTTTAAAAATAAAACAGTGGCTGAGGGTATAGTTCAATGGTAGCATGCACAAGGTGCTGGGTTCAATTCCAGCACTGTAAAATAAAAAATAAATAAAATGCTAAGTGTTGTTTTGGAGCAATGAGCACATAATGCTTTTGGTCTGCAGCCACAGGTCTCAAATCCCAGATAATCCAAGATGCTCTTCCCCCAGTTCCGAGAGCTCCTTGCACTCCCTTACTCTGCTGCATCCAACTCAACTACAACATGCCTAACCTGCTCTGAGGGCAAGGAAGGGGAAGGACAGACCCACAGCCCCCTGTACTTTAGTGTTCCCTAAGTCTCAGGTGCCCAGTGTAGGTTTCAATGAAGGAATATGAAGAGCTTTAAGCCTATGGCCAATACCTCAAATGGCCAGGCAATTTTTCATTTGCCATCATATCACAGGAACCAATTAGAATATTAACCTTCTCAAACATGTTACATGCACTTTTTACTGCTGTTTGCTGCATAGTCTCTCTCTTTTTTTTTCTTGCAGTGCTGGGGATTGAACTTGGGGCCTCCTGCGTACCAGGCAAGTACCTTAATGCTGAGCCACACCCCCAGCCCTGCATATTGTCTTCTGATGAATAAACGCAGTCTGTTTAGCAGCAAGACCTTTTCTAACAGGAGGCCCTTGAGGTAGGAGATGAGAAATGAGCAAAAGCCATAAAGAGAGCAGAGCCCAACTCAAGTCCAAGCCAGAGCTCTAGACCAGGAAATGTGAAGCAGCCCACTCCCAATCTGGGATTTCATGGAGGGGGCTGACCCAGTTCTGCAAAGCCGTTTTCCCTGGCTGGGGACAGCCTCTGTTCTCTTAGGACATGACTGCCTATCAGCATTCTGGAGCTGTGCAGAGAGGGTGGCGCATGCCAGCAAGAGAGCACTTCCCAGGGGGAGGGGAACACGACACCTGTAATTGGAATGGTTTTCCCAGGAATTTAAACCAGGCTTATTGGCCTGACCCTCCCACGCCCCCGGAGAGTTCTGACCCACTTTCAGCAGTTCAGGAGATAGCTGCTGCAGCACTGCATTAACAACGCCATTACTGGCAGGAGTACAAGGGTCTCCACTTGTCTGGCTCAATGTGTCAGACACACTGTTGCCAATAAATTCCCTTGTTGCTTGGATTCTCAAGAGGCTCCAGGAGCAGTAGAAGAAGGATAGAGGTAGGAGTCATGCAGCACAAGGCCCAGCGTGTGTCAGGTGTGCTGGGGGGACTGCAGCAGCCAGGGCAGGGCAAGGCCGGAGGGCTGGAGCTCTGTGGACACCAATAACCACACCATGGTCAGGGAGAGGCAGAGGCAGCCTGTTCCCAGTTTGGTGGGAGAAGCCACAGGCTAGAGAGGCCCAGGGCACAGAGCTGAGATGAAGGAGGAAACCAGCCCCTCTAGACTCTGAAGTCCATATTCCAGTCACATCTACACTACAGGGACAGGTGCTACAATAACAGAGTAAGAAACTGAAGTCTGGGGATTGCTGCATACAAGGAAGGTCTGGAAATGTGCTAAAACCTAGATTCACCTCTGACTCATCCCAGGCGATCCACCAGTCTCTGGGAGCAAAGCCAAGTAAGCACCATGCCTCTGCTTGTTTCTGTACTTGGAGTATCTTTTCTCCTGGCTGGAAAAACTCCTACTCATCCCTCAAAGACCAAGCCCAATTATTTTCCCTATGGGGTTGCCTTTTGCAGACCTAGCCTAATGCATAAGAACCAATAGGGAGGGTCTTTTGGAGTTGGTGACATGGGAGAGCATAAGCAAGAGAAGAGAGAGGAAAAACATGTTTCTGACAAAGAAAACAGCGTATAAAACTCAGGGACAGCACCCTTCCTTTAAAAAGCTCAAAGGAGGCCTTTCAATGAGGCAGGAAGAGGATTAGAGAGTCCTAAAAGCAAGCCAGGCCAGACTGCATGAAGCTGGAAGGCTACATGAAGGTCTTGGGGCTATATGCTGAGGTACATGAAAAGTGGTGGGTTTTAAGTCAGGGTAACAACAATGGCCCTGCTCTATCATTTGAGTGCTTGCTATCTGCCAGGTTGGCTCTCTCATTAGTACTATTCCTAGTTATTCCTCAATGCAGCCTATGCTCAGATATGAGAGGTGACAGTGGCCTGGACTAGCCAGTGCACAAGAGACAGAGGTGGGGACCGAGGAGTTCCACTAGGCGCAACGATTTAGAGAACTGATGGGATGTGTCAATGGAGAGTGTCAACTCCTGGAGTGGATAATGGAGGTGGAGAATTAGGGTCCTGGGGCCCCAGTGCTGAGGTACAGAAATGGCCTGCACCTTGCTAAAGATGACAAGTGGCAGGAGGCCCAATGACACAAACTGGCTTGGCAGCACTGAAGAGGTGCCTCAGAGGAGGAAGCCACCTCCGCTACTTCAGCCCTGCAGCTTCCATGCCTAGAATTTTATTAGTGTCCACTCCCTCGAGTCAGCTAGCTAGTGCCGGCTGCCTCATTACCATGAGAACCTGTCTGGCATTTCAGAGCAAAGGACACTTTAACAGTGATCACATTTGGGCCTGGCCACATAGGTGTCACCAACTCCACTTTCAGGGGAAAGTGAGGTCAATTGCTCAAGACCACAGAGCTGAGCTGGCCGAGCAGAGCTTTGTCTACTAAGCAGAGCTCCTGCTCACACACACAAGTCTCCTTCCCAAAGAGGCAACACCCTTTGGCAGGACCCATGCTCAGAGCCCAGCAGCCAAACCTTATTTGGTAAGTATCTCAATAGATCCAGTTTGCACCTGCATAAGGAGGGAAAATGGTGCCAGAGGGAACCGAGGGCAGCTTGGAGGAGGGCCTACCTGGACCTCTACATACAGTAAACAAAAAAGGAAACCTCTAGTTCCTTTGGCTGTTCAATCCTCTAGGCACAGTGTGGGACTTGAGACTAGGGGACAGCCCTCCCCCACCCCCTAAATCTGTTCCTTCTCCAGGCTTCCAGACTGTAAGAAGGAACACTAGTCTGTTCTCCTCCCTGAGGCCCCTTCTATTACAGAAATACCTATGGGGGGGAGACCTGGCTTCACTCTCCTGTTCTCAGACAGCTGTGAAGCAGCTACCCTGTGATATCCAGAGATAAGATAAAGACAGCCCCTACCTTTCCAGACTCCCTGCCATCAGGATGACAAAACAAGAAGGTGTGGGGCAACTGGCTGCCTAACATGCAGACCTCTCTGAGAAAGGAGACCTGGGGGCTAGGAGTTGGCCAGACATGAGGATAGAGGAATATGTAGGGAGGCAGGATGTTTCTACTGGGTCACTGGCTCATCCTTTCTCTAGGCTCTCTGCCTGTTTCTGTGCCGGGATGCATAAACCATGGGTCCCCATCCTCCTGGAGCTCACAGAAGCACATCTCCAATTTGGTGACTAAAGCTTGGTGGAAAATTCCATGATAGATGTTCCCAGGGGAGTTAATGAGAAGGTAGATGCAGGCATCCAACCTGCCAGGGATGGGAGAGAAAGGAGGCAGATCAGGAGAGTCCTCCTGAAGCTGTCACTGAGCCAAATCTGAAGGGCAGTATGTCAGCCAAACAAGAGGAAGCTGAAAGGGGACAGCCAGGCACAGGGATAGGATGTGGGGAAGGAAAGGCTACTTGTGCTGTCTGAAGTGATGGCAATCCAGACCACTGGAAGCGTTTAGCCTGTGTGGGCTCAACAGGGTGGAGAGACAGGTCCATCCAGCAAGACTAGGGCCCCTCTGTGGCAGGCAGCAACAGAGGAAAACATAATGGAAGTAATTTTAAAGATTCTATAATCAAATGAGGTCAGGCGGCTCTGCTCTTTCTCTAACAAACGTTTTAAAAGGAAAAATGAAAAAAGTCACTAAAGCTCAAATCTGGGGGGGGAAAAAAAAAAAAAAACAGACTCCATGAGGTCCCCTGGAAACAGAACTCCTGGTAGATCCAAATCTTTCAATGAGTCACGTTCAGAAAGCTTTGATTTTCTGGGCCAAGAGCAAACCAGGAGAGAGAGAGTTAACTGAGTGCAACTCCTCCCTTCCTAGGCTGTGAGACAGTCAGGTGCCAGCATTATCTCCACAAGAGTCTTGTGGGGCATGCCCGGGGGGTCCCCTGACTACCCCCCACCCCCTTATCCTGCCTGTTGGATCAGGCCCCTCACCTGATACAGGCTCCAGTCAATATTCAGAGGGTGAGTCAGGAAATCGGGGATGCTCAAGGGGGCATCGACGTAGTCCTAGGGACAGAATGACACCTGTGAGACATGAACTGGCTCCCCAAGAGGTTGTGATAACAGAAAGGTCATGGCCCTAAAGCTGTGGCTACCACAGGAAGGATGTTCCTCCACAGTGCTGGCCTTCTCCTGGCCAGAAGCTTACGCTATTCTGGAACTGACAGTTTAAAAATCAGAGTGACCAGATCTCTGCAGCTGAGCGGAATGCTTCTGTCAGACATTTACAAAAGTTGGCTGCTGAAATAAGCAAGATTAATCTATATTCAATCTCCATCAAGTTTCCTGGGCCTGCTGCTCCTGACTGGAGAAAAAACAGAACTCTGCTCTCTGCCCTTACACAGAGAGTGGAGGAAAGAGGGACTTTTCTATCTTATCCTGACCAAGAAAGAAAGACATTAAGAGGAAAGAGGAAAGCACAGATGAGAATGTAACATGCATATACAAAGAGAAGACGAGATATAATGAGACTCATTTAGGGAAGAAAAGAGAAAGGAGAAAGGTAGTTATTTCCCCCGAAAAGCTAACTAGCTGTTCTCAGTCTTCCTTTACAAAGAAACATAAGACCCAAGTTGAACAACGTTGTTCATACCTGTTTCCAGTTAAATATGAGCCCTTCAGCCATGTAATCCCGATCCTTATATTCCTTGAAAAATTCACAGCCTGGAAAAGAAGGGCAGAGTCACAACACCTCCTGTCCCAGCACAGAGTCTTCTGAGACACTGCTGGCCAAACCATGACCCTGACTGCTGAGAGACTGAGGGGTCAGCAGCTCACACAACTCTTCGTGCTGGTAGCTCTGGTGAGGTCAAAGCTGCTGGCAGTGAAAGCAGGAGTGGGCAGGCAAGAGCCAGGAGCAGGTCCCGGTGTCCTTCCACAACACACCACCTGCCCTCATACTTCTTTGGAACACTCTCTGCATCTGTGTTCAAGGGCATGGTTGCTCTCCCTCACTGAAGGTCCCTCTGTCCTACAAGTGTCTGCAGTGCCAACCCCAGCAGATAAAAGCCTGGCTCATAATGAGAGCCTCAGAGACACATGTTCAGCAACCACGCAGTCTGCTTCATCTCTACAATGGGGACAACATATGAACCTCACAGGTTTTAGTGAGGTATGTCCTGATATACTGGAGAGGTTGTGGACAGTGGACAGTGCCTGAAACCTAATAGGCAGAGACACTTCTACCTCCATTTAAGTAAGCAGAGGTACTTTCTGCACAAAGTGCTAGAAAAATCCTGAGAAACTCCACAAGGGCGAGGCTCCAGAATAGAGGGGAACTTTGGTGAGAATGGGGCTTTGGCAGAATCCCAACTTTAAATCTCAGCTTTTCACCCAGCCCTGTAACTATGAATAGCTGGAATAATATCTTCCAAGACTTGGTTTCCATATTTGTAAAACAATCAAGGAAGAAAAACAACAATACATATAAAACAGTGAGCATTGGCCTGGTACAAATGGCATTTCCACGGCAGCACACCACTGTCACCATGTTGTCACTGTGGAGCCCACAGAGCCAGCCCAGCAGTATAGTCAGATGCATAGCTAGAGATGAGGTTTACCCAGCTTCAGCTTGCCCTTGCACAAGGGGCAGCTAGGCCACCAGCTGGCTGCTGCCTATGCAAAGGCATAGGGAGGGAGAAGGCACTGGGGAGCAGCCTCTTGCAATTACTCTCAGTTCCTCAACTAGGGCCCACATGGACTTCAGGGGATACATGGCTTTGGCAACACTGCCAAGTCTGGTGAGGTCTCAGAAGGCAACTGAGAAATTGTCTCAATTCTATAGAAGTGGCCACAGACCAAAGCAATCCATGAGGACCTCTACAGCAACTCTTACGCTGTGTTTCCTGTGCCTCAGGGAAAATGGAAGGGTCCCTATGGAGAGGAAGGTCTGGGGACCCACCCGTGTATTCAGCACCGCATTCATTCCACACACAATGCTTCACTCTAATCCCTCAGGCCTCATGCTGTCTGAAGAGTCAAGAAATAATTTTCAGCAGTAACACTTCAACCTATTCTGTGGTGCCTCACCCGGACAAAGAAGAATTATAAATACCAGATAAAGCTTATGAGCCCAGGCTGAGAAGAGTTACCAATTATCTCTCAGGGCCCAGTGAAGTACTCTGTTTTTCCCAAACTCTGGCTGCTCAAATCAACACTGCAGGCCCTAGGCTGAGCTCAGAAGAGCCCATGATGCAGAAGCAGTTTCTGAGAAAACAGAATTAAAATAGACTTGGTACTTAGGGCAGTGCTTGATGTTTATTACCAGAGCAGCTTCTGAATGCACCAGCAGGCCAGGGGGAAGGGACGAAGAGCAGGGTGACAGAAGCAACTTGCTCAGGAGGAAATGAATTAAACTTGGGCAGTAAGGTTTGGCCCCATCTATTTTGGTGTCTAGAAGGAAGTACACTCTCAATACTTCTCGTTTCCAAGGGCAAGTCTTAGTCTAGATGAGTTACACAAAGCCAGAACTGATACTATTGCAATTACTGTCTGGGCTTTGTCATTACAGGCCCAACTGAGACTCCTTAAATGGCATCAAAGTCCATTTCATGACTTGGTTTGGGTAATGTTAATTTTGTTTTGTTTTCTTTCTTTTTTCTTTTTTTGGCAGTGCTGGGGATAGAACCCAGGGCCTCCCACATGCTAGGCATGTGCTCTACCAGTGAGCAACATCCCAAGCTCCTCTTCTTTTTTTAGTTTTGATTTGAAATGGGATTTTTGCTCTTAAGCCCAGGGCCTTATAACAGCTGGGCAAGTGCTCTACCACTGAGCTACAACCCCAGCCCCATAAGGATTATGAAACAAACATGTTCCTGGTTTTATTATCATGATGAACACCTTTAGCCCCAAATCAATGGGATTATGGCCTAATAATGAATGATTAAGAAAATAACTGGGCTAGGTGTGCTGGCATACACCTGTAATCCCCTGTGACTCAGGAGGCTGAGGCAGGAGAACTGCAAGCTTGAGGCCAGGCTGGGCAACTTAGCAAGACCCTGTCTCATCAAAGTAAAAAATAAAAAGGATTGGAAATGTAACTCAGTGGTAGAGCAACCCTGGGTTCAATCCCTAGTACTGTCAAAAAAGAAAATAAATAAATAAGTGGCTGCTTTCCAGCCACCATGAGTTGAGCAGTTTTCCTCCACTATGTCTTCTGCTATGGTGTTCTGCCTCACTTCAGACCCAGAGCAAAGGAGCTGCCTGACCACAGACTGAACCTCTAAAACCATCAGCCCAAAATAAACTTTTCACCTCTAAATAAAATAATAATAATAACAACATAAAAAAAAACAAAACCCTGGGTCAAAAGTTGTTAACATTTGGGGCATTTTGTAACAAGTTGCCAAACTACAGCAGAAATAGTACTGCACTATTTTTCTGTATTTATACCTCTAGCAGAACTATTTTTCCTAACCAAGTCCTACGTGGAACTAAAATAAAAATTAAAAAGCATGCCTGGATCCTCAAGCAGCACAACCCTTTTGCTCACAGAGGATAGATCGGGGTTGGCATCCACCAGGCTTTCCTGGGAGTCAAGTATGAAAACCTGAGGGCCTGGTGCACACACTCACCTTCTGCCAGTGTGGCTCTGACACCACTAAGCCCACTTCATCACCATCTCAATCTACATTGGGCCAAAGTCACTTTTAGGGAAGAGAAGGTTTCTGGAGACTTTCTTCCCATTTTACTGTTATTTGCTGAGCACCTGTTAAGACAGGACAGGCACTTTACTCTGAAATAAGTGCCATTATCCTCATGCTATGAAGGATGAAACTGAAACTCAGGGCCTCATTCAAGGACACAAGTGCCAGGCCAGCCATCATGCCCAGCCTTTCATGGTACCAAATACTAAACTGGCACATAGAAGTTATGAGAGACCTAGGTGGAGCCACTTTAAGGGTACCAGGCCACCAGGGGGTGATTCTGAATACCACCAACTTGCACTGGATGAGGATGCTCTCTCCTACAAGGCACTACGTGAACCTGTAGTTCTTAATGAGGCTGTCGCCAGCCTGCCCTTGCTGTGGCTCCAAGATTGAAGAGATGAGGTATAAGCCAAGACTAAAGCCAGTGCTGAGAAACAGGACAGAGGTTCCAAGGAAGAAGCACACTTTGCTGTGGGCTCAGTTGTGCACTGATGTTCTGGCTCCTTGGCCCCCCTTGCTGAATAGGCATGACTGTCCAGAGAGCTGCAGTGATCCAATTTGGCTTTTGTCTCCAATACAGAGAATGCAGCCCTGGCCACAGCAGGGCATGCACTCTTCAACAAAGCACATGCAGCTTTGTTGACATCAGAATGCTTTGCAGGATGAGGAGGCCACTGTACAGTCACTGGGGACACACAGCAATTAACGTGTGCCTGCACCATCAGAACAGCTTTGCCTGAGTCACGTGAACATTTGCTGATGTACTAGTAATGTTACATGTGCTTCAATAGTACTTTATGTGCACAGAGCACTTGGATATGCATAATTTAATCTTCCCAACAAACCCCAAGTTTCAACTATCACTTGAGGCTCAGAAAGGTGAAGTAATTTGCTCAAGGTTGTGGCTACTGAGCACCACTGCCAGGACTTGTGTCCTGGACCTCATGGGGAAAGTTCCTTCCAGGACACCATCACACTGTAAGTGTGAGTACATGTAACTGGGTGCCAAATGTCCACAGTGGCTAACACAAGTTCCCCTGGAAAGCTCCCAGGGTACCAATGTATGTAAGAATAGAAGGCTTGCTTCTGGCTTCTGAGGGTCCCGAGGCCTGGGAAGCTTGTCCCTTGACTAGAAAAGGGCTCCCTACCTGGATACGGGATGGAGAGGAGAGTGAAGTCGGCATAGCGCTGGGCTTTGTCCACCTTCTCGGAGGAGGTTACACTAAAAGACAAAGACACAATGTGTTATGGTCACAACACACAGACACACACCTTTCCTTAAATGAATATTTAACAACCTAAAATGAACCCTGTGCTAAAAAACAAGTCTTCAGAGTTAAGAATCATTCCCCTCAGCAGTGCTTACTTTGAAAAATGAAAAAGCCTTACTTCCCTGCCCTGACTCTAACATCTCAGTGAGAGCTCCCTCTCCTTCCAACACTGCAGCAAACTTCAATCACAACCAGAGGTTGCAGGACCACCTTCCACACATAACCCATGAACATGAGTGGTAGGGAAGAGGGAGAGGAGAGTCAAATAAGGTTGCCGTCCCAAAGGGATCCCTTGGGGAAACCCTCTGCTCTAGAGTCTTCTCTAACTTTCACTAAGGCCATTTCTAAACAGAGTGAACAATGGCACCTGAAAAATCACTGGGGATCATCTGACAAAGGGTGGAGGCGGGTAGGGCAATGTGTCCATAGGAAGCTGAACTCGGACTTGAGCATCAGTGTCCCTTATTTTCTAAGACCTTTTAGGAGAATTAAAAGATATTTGGAAAAAAAAAGTTAAACAAAATTTTTTTAAAGAAAGATAGAGAGAGAGAGAGAGAATTTTTTAATATTTTTTAGTTTTCGATGGACACAACATCTTAATTTTATTTTTATGTGGTGCTGAGGATCGAACCCAGCGCCCCGCGCATGCCAGGCGAGCATGCTACCGCTTGAGCCACACCCCCAGCCCAACAAATTTTTTGAGAAAACTCCATAAATTTCATTATCTTAACCTAAGTTCCATTTTTAAAAAAATCTTTATTTTATTTATTTATTTTTGTATGTGGTGCTGAGGATCGAACCCAGTGCCTCATGCATACAAGGCAAGTGCTCAACCACTGAGCTATAGCCCCAGCTCCAAGGTTCCATTTTAAATGTTTTGCCTCTGTATATAAAAATTTGGTCTATATGTATATTTTACTTTTTTAGTGCTGGGCATTGAACCCAGGAGCACTTTACCACTGAGCCACATCCCTAGCCCTTTTTATTTTAAGACAGGGTATCACTAAATTCTGAGGGAGTCACTAAATTGCTGAGGCTGGCTTTGAACTTGCAATCCTCCTGCTTCAGCCTCCTGAGTTGCTGGGATTATAGGTGTGTACCACCATACCTGACTCACATGGGTATTTTAATGTAAAAGTAGTCAATGAAGCAAATATTTGGTACACACTAAATTTTTGGGTCCATTTTAAAAGAGATTCTAATATATCGAGGATGGCACATACTTTAGAGCCAAAGGGGAAAAATAAAAATAAAACGGTGTCTAATGGCAGCAGTAAGTACAGGTTATAGATTCATGACTCACATGGTTATAGATTCAATGGCTCCCACAGTCAAAACTAAATAACCTTGAGCAAGTTACCTAGTCTCTGTGCTTCAGTTTCTTTCTTGTCCATATAAAAGAGAGACATGGGTGCCTGCCTCACAGAGCTGTTTGAAGACAGTGAGAGGTTGCAGAGTGATCTAGACATGAGGGCAGCAGGCAACACCTACTACATACTACAGCCAGCCCTGTAAGCTGTGAACACATCACTTCTGCCCACTTTGAGGTAGGTGCTCATACTTACTTCATGCCAAATTTCACCTTCTTGTTCTCCACCATTAGATCACAGATGTACTTGACTGACAAGTACCGAAGTAACCTGATGTCATAGCCTCTGACCTTATCAAAAAGATGCATGTCTCCACTTCTGAAATAAAAGAGCCAGAGGGAGAAGTTACAAAGCATGTTCACTCAGAGTTGTTCGGTGATGGGGAGCTCCTTCATGAAAGTATGGGTGTCATTGGCAAGAACTTGAGTTACTCTTCTCCAGAGGCCAAGAGGAGGGTGCAGGGAAGGTGACTTTTTAAGAGATTACCCCCACCTCTGGGACACATTTCAAAGGGGAGCAATTTTCAGCCAGAACAGGAAAGGGCTTTCTGGCACTGCTTGACATTAAACCAGGAGACTCAAGATAACCTCAGATCTAAAGAAAAGTGAGCTGGTGGCTGATAGTCCTTGAGCTTCCATTAGAGTTGATCTTCCTCTACCCCCTCCCTTTCCCCCATTTAGGACCATTTTTAGCCACATGCCTCACTCATAATATAACAGATTGAAATTCTTGGAGAGAGAGAGACTTTGTAGAGCTATTTTATCAAGTGATTGTGAAATACTAGCAAGTAAATTCTCTGTACTTAGCAAGCCTATGAAGCAAGCAGAAAGATAACATTTTTCTAATCCCCAGGCTACCTTCTGATCAGCCATGCAGATACAGACAGAAGTATAAAAAGTAGGTCCCGCCATCACATTTAGTTTTTAATGTCCACTGCTTTGTGGCCCTAGCAGTCTCTTTACCAACAGTGAATGCTGCCAATGACCTGGCTGAGGCAGAGGTCACCTGATCTTGAGTGGGGAGAGCCAAACATTCTTGTGCACAAGCCAAAGCCACTGCTTTCAGAGCTACTGGGCAAAACTGGGGCAAAGCAAGATGACTTTTCCCGCACCAATCCATGATTTGGGCAGCTGACCTTACTAGAGTGTTCACATGCATTCCAGAGACGCTTCACACAAGTTACAGACTTGCCACGTGGTGCCAACCATGCAAAGGTGATTTTCTAAAATATCTTATACTGCTATTAAAAAAAAAAAAAAATTGAGAGCTGCGGACATAGCTCAGTTGGTAGAGTGCTTACCTCACATGCACAAGGCTCTGGGTAGCACCACAAATAAATAAATAAATAGGTAGGTAGATAGATAAAAATTTGAAGGGGACAGGAAGAGTGTGAACCAACACACTCCCTCAAAACACTGATTTGTATCAAGCTCTTTTCAAGGCAACAATCATGCAGTTGTGGGACTTCTAGTCACTGCATGTATCTTCCAGGTTGGGATACAAGGATTCTGTGGGAAGTGTTGCCCCCTCCCTGTGCTATGTGACACCTGACAGGTTGGGATCTGGCACCCTAACTGCACAATGGAATCTCTATGGGGCTTTAAAACACAGGGTAGCTGGGCATAGAGGCTCACTCCTTAATCCCAGCAACTCAGGAAGCTGAAGCAGGAGAATCACAAGTTGGAGGCCAGCCTCAGCAATTAGCGAGGCCCTATTCAACTTAGTGACACCCTGTCTTGAAATAAAAATTTAAAAGGCTAGGTATGCGGCACAGTGGTAAAGCGTCCCTAGGTTCAATGCTAGTAAAAACAACAACAAATACAGATGTCTGGGGCCTATCTCAGACCTGCAGTTCCAGGAACCCCAGGGGTGTGACCTTCTGTCTGAGATCCTGATGTTTGTTTATTCCAGCTGTAGACTGATCAGGCATTCATTAGGCAGCTTTGGGATGAAACTACTGAACAGACTTCAACAGCACTATTTCAAGGCATGGACTTGGTAGAAGAGAGGAAAGAGCAATCCACTCACAGAGACCAAGGTTGATGACACACTGTCAGTATAAGCATGGCTGCCACTGGTGAGACACCCCATCCCCAACCAAGTCTCTACACACCACCGTATAGCACTGACCGAAGAGCACAATCCTCTTCTGTGACGTCCTCCACATCTGCCCAGGCATCATCTGCACCCCCTGCCAGAGAAAGCAGTCTGTCAGCACAGAGGCAGGTGGCTTCCACGCAAAGGCTTCCTGACTAGCCTCCTTCCCACAGTGCCAAGCCTGGATGAACCACCTGTCTCTACCCCATGGACAGTCCTCACGTCTCTCTCCCAGCTCCATGTGCCCATGAGTCTCACAGTGTGCTTTACCTCTGAAGAGCATTCCTGCCGTCTCCTGGTCCCTGAAGAAAGGAATGCCCTGGTTTCCACCCAGCTCACTTACACCTCCTTACACCACTGTGACCATGGCAGCCAGACTCTAGGACTAGATTCTCATTCTTAGTCCCAGAGAAGGCTGCTTATAACTCACCTGAGAAAAAATAGTTGTAGCCAGAGCGTCCATAGAGCTCCCCCCATCCAGCCAGCGTGGCTGACCTGCAAATGTGCTGGGAGACAAAACAACATGTTCAGAGTCAGCTGGTTTTCTGAAGTATAATCAACTGAAGGAAGGCCTGAGCTCTGGATTCTTCTAGGTGAGCAAAATGGGTCAAGGTGTATTCCCCAAAGTTTTTATCAGCATCAAGGCTACCACAGCCAGTCTCAAGGATGCCTGGAACTTAATACACAGTCTTATTTAGAGGCTTCCCCTCAAATCTGAGGCACCAAAGTGTTACCAAAAGTAATGGACATTTGGTGGCTGGTCTGTGTGTACCTAAGCATATGCTAAGCAAGCACTCTACCACTGAACCACATTCCCTGGCCCATAGTATTCTATAGTTTTCCAGAGGCCCACTTTACCTCTCCAGATTTACTGGGTATATTACACAAAGTACTGAAAGATTCATGCATTTTCTCACTGAACTTTTACAACCAGCCCATGAGGAAGGTATGGCTGGTAGGTGGCACTGCTATTACTTCACTGATGAGGAAAAGAGAAATAGGCACAGGAGGCTAAGGAATGAACAAGGTCATAAAATAAAGGGTAAGATGCTCCTTGATCCAAAACCAACTACCTCCAAAGTCTGTGTGCTTATTACTTGGAACTTTTTAGAATGAAGGAACACAATGCAGGGAGGATATTTAAGGAACAAATATTTGGTGGCTTTTTGGCTTGTTTTATGGAGCTCTGGAGGGAACCAAGGGATTCATGCACACTCTATGAGCACTCTGCCACTCAGCTATACTTTTTTGCAACTTTTAAAAGAAGAAATTATTGCTGGATCCAGTGGCATGTGCCTGTAATCACAGTGACTGAGGCTCAGGCAGGATTGCAAATTAAAGGCCTATGAGGTCCTGTCTCAAAATACAAAATAAAGGGATGTAGCTTAGTGGTAGAGGACCCCTGGGTTCAATCTCCAGTAGCACAAAAAAGGAAGAAAAAAAAAGGGGGGGGGGGAATTATGGTCCTATTATTGTGCTGAGATATTATTTTGCTTTTTTCCTTATCACTGAAGGAATCATTTTAAGAGTTAGAGAATTTCAGAAACTAGGGAACCATGTGTACTTCAGTATTTAAATGTAAGTCCACTCCTTCAAATAAATTGTATCTGATAAGATCCAGTAGAGTTGGGGAGAATGGGAGGAGGTTCCAAGAGATGAGGAATCTGCAGGTTGGCAAAAGGCTGGGAGAACACAGCCCCAGGATGGTAGAGAGTGGAGAAGCTGTGAGAAAAGAGCAGAAGTCAACAATCTGGAGATGCAAAGTGGGCTAGGGAATGTGGTTCAATGGTAGAATGCTTACCTAGCATGTAAGTAAGGGCCTGGGTTTTGACTCATAGCACTGGGAAAAAAACTAATGAACAACCACAACAAAAACGAAGGAGACAGATGGGTGTGGTGGCACACGCCTGTAATCCCAGTGGCTTGGAAGGCTGAGGCAGGAGGATCACGACTTCAAAGCCAGCCCCAGCAAAGGCAAGGCACTAAGGAACTCAGGGATAAAAAATGGTGCTGGGGATGTGGCTCAGTGGTTGAATGCCCCTGAGTTCAATGCCCAGTACCCCACCACCACCACCACCAAAAAACACAGATATCTACAAATGGCCAAAATACTATCTAAAGGCTTCTTCTTCTCTTCCTATAAGATAAGGGGAGGAAAGAGTTTGCTGCTACAGAAAAAAGATGTGCATGGGAACCACTATCATCTTCTGATCTCCCTGGGGGTGGGAGCAGGCAATAGAAAGCAGCCTGCATCCCACCTGGGAGGCTGGGTGCTTTGACCTATTTATATCTCTTCCTTTCCCACTACTTCAGCTCCAAAGATTATCTTGGTTCATCTGGCTCCCCTCATCATAGCCTGGGACCACTACTGCTTTATCCAGAGCAGCATCTTCTCACTGAGCATGCACTGACCTGTCAACCCTTCCTCATACGGAGGTTGGCCTGGAAGCCTATGGAGAAGATCTAGGGCTGGACGGAAGTGAGGGGCCTCACCCTCACCGAACTTTTTCTGGATCTAAAACCTCTTTAAAAATCTGATGAAAACTGCTGAGTAGAGAGACACATAATCCTAGTGATTCAAGAGGCTGAGGAAAGAGGACTGCAAGCTCAAGGCCAGCCAGGGCAACTTAGCAAAACCCTGCCTCAAAATAAAAAGGACTGGGGATGTGGCAGTGGTAAAACAGCCCTAGGTTTAATCCTTAATAAAACAAAAACAGAAAACTGATAAAAATTATCAATTATCTCCAAAACAAAACAAAAAAAACATACATACTACAGTTTACCTACATTTCCAGAGCTTTGTCCATCAAGGAACCCAGCCCAGCTCTTGGTTAAGATGAGCCAAGTAGGGTCTGGGGCTGTAGCTCAGTGGCAGAGTGCTTGCCTAGCATGCAGGAGGCACTGGGTTCGATCCTCAGCACCACATAAAAATAAATAAATAAAATAAGGCATTCTGTCCATCTATAACTACAAAAAAAATTTTTTTTAAAAAATCAGCCAAGTAATTTGGAGAAGCAAGGTGGAGAACTTCAGCAGAGAGGGCCAATCCCCAGGTAGAGAACCCCCAAGACTCCCATGGAGGAGATTTCTTATCCCTATGAGTAGGGTGACAGGAGGGGTGCAGCCATCCATCTGGCACAGGTCATACTCACCCTCCACCCTCATCTCAACTGCTGGGATCTGCCTCACTTTCCTTTGAATTTATCTGTTAAATCTTTTCAGAGTAGTTACAAATCATCTCTTTGGTTGTTGAGCATTCAGACCTTCTTCTTGCTTCCCATTCTTCTCCCAAACCCCTTCTGTTGTCCTTGTCTTTTTGGATAGCCATTCAGCCAGACCTGGCCTATCAGGACACACTCACAGTCAGATAGAGAAGAAAAAGTGAGTTGGCTAAGTTCCTGAGTGAGTACCAAACTCTTCAGAAAGGCCTCAAGTGGCAGAAGGTCTACTCTACCATGGTAGAGTCTAACTCGAAATGCCTGCTCCAAAGCCTAATGACTCTAAGTCATGATCCATCATTTCTGCACCTTAACAAGACACACTACGAATGCTCTTCAGTTACCTAATTAGAAATGGCCTCCAATTCTACATGTAGAATAGCACTCAAGAATCTGTTAATCTAATAAATAACTTTGGCAAACAAAATAAAAGTGACTGGGCTGGCGCTGTAGCTCAGTAGTAAAGCATGTGCTTAACATGCATGAGGTCTTGAGTTCAGTCCCCAGCACCACCAAAAAAAAAAAAAAAAACCCAGCAAAAAAATAAAAGTGACTGACCTGTGTCCTACCTCTTAAGGGAGAAAACAAGAGAAAAGATGAAGCCAGGTACAGTGACACACACCTGTAATCCCAGTGGCTCAGGAGGCTGAAGCAGAAGGATCACAAGTTTAAAGCCAGCCTCAGCAAAAGCAAGATGCTAAGCAACTCAGTGAGACCCTGTCTCTAAATAAAATACAAAATAGGGCTGGGGATGCAGCTCAGTAGCCCAGTGCTCCTGAGTTCAATCCCCAGTACAAAAAAAAAAAAAAAAAAAAAAGAAAGAAAGAATTGTCCTAGTTTTTTTTAAGGGGATTGAACATAGGGGTTCCCTACCACTGAGCTACATCCCCAGCCCCAAAAAAGTTTCTTTTCTTTTTCTTTTTTTGGTACCAGGGATTCTACACAGGGACAATTAAGCATTGAGCCATATTACCATCTTTTTTTTATTTTGATACAGTGTCTCGCTAAATTGCTTAGGAGCTAGCTAAGTTGCTGAGGCTGGCTTTGAACTTGTGATTCTCCTGCCTCAGCCTCCTAAGTCACTGGGATTATAGGCCTGTGCCACTGTGCCCAGCCATAAAGTTCATTTTAACCAACCAAATAAACAAAAAACTCTTTTTACATTGCTTTCACACTAATTTAATTTGAACGAAATGAAATAAAATCAAACATTTACTTCCTTAGTCACAGTAGCACACTGAACCGAGTTCTGAAGGAAGCAGGGAGCAAGTATTTTATACCTCTCTCCCTTCCCTACACTGGGAAAAGAAGGTGCTCCAAAAGTAACGTTGATTATTATACTGCCACCCTTGGAACGAGTTACAAGTGCCTGCTGTGAGCCACTCATCTGAGAAGCAGGTCCCCAGCTCATAACAGCAGCCCTACGCTCCTGTCCTTTCTAATTTCCCTCCAAATGCCTTTCCTACTTTGTCAGCCCCAAGGACCATTTTGTTCATCTCTCTCTCTAGAGCCTAATTGAAGGACCACTACTATTTGATTCAGAGCCACATCTTCCTGCCAAGCATGCACTTACATGCCAGACAGTCTGCCAGTGGATAGCAGGGAGACAGGTGCCAGTGGATAGCAAGGAGACAAGGCCTCTGCCCAATGGAATTATAACATGGCAAAACAGATGTTGCACCACATAATCAAAACAAAAATACATGTACACAGGTGTTAGGCACTGACTTGGTGGGAGCTAAGAAGAAGGAAAGTGAAGAGAAAAATAGCATCACACTGCTGGGATGTGAAAGTGCAAAGGGAGAAGAAAGCAGAACTAACCACAAAGCCCTTGTGAACATCTAGGATGCCAAAAGCTCCTCAGGCTTATCTTGCACAACAAACTCCCTGGTAGAAATTCATTGCCATCTCTGTGATCTATTAGCCTAGGGCTCTTTCCTCACAGCCCACCTGAAATCTAGGGGCTATCCATCTGCCAGACAACTCCCCTTCCAGGGTAAATCTCAAGAATCTGGAACTATTTAACATGGCATTTCCCAAATGCATTCAGCAAAGTTCCTGTCACATGATCCACAGAACAAAGAGGAATTCCAGAATAGACAGAGCCAGAGCCACATGGGTATCTTCACTGAGGGACTTCTTAGAGTCTAAACTCTGTCACTATATGTATACCAATGCATTTTTAAAAATTTATTCATTCATCCATTTAGTGATACGGGGAATCAAACCCAGAGCCTTGTGCATGCTAGGCAAGTACACTACTGCCATGTCACATCCCCAGTCCGCCAACGAATTTTATAAATCTGGACGTCAGAGATTATGCCAGCTCTACCATATAGTATTTCTCCTTATTTGATGAAATGCTTTTCACAAGTGTATCCTTACACTGCTGTTCTGTGGAGCAAACACTGGTTCAAGTATTTCCTATTTCTAGTGACATGCACTGTGATCCACAGAGCAATGATCTGTAAACTGGAGACCCCGTAACTTCTAAACACAAAAACTTTCTAAAGTGGTATCAAACAGCTATATGAAGATCAATTTCTGAGACCTAGTGTCCACATATACTTTTGCCCTAAAAAGTCTTCAACAGAAACTTCTTTTCTACCTCCCTTTCTCACCTGCCCTTTTGCTACACAAAAAAAGGTACACCAGGACTAGGCCAACACACACTCTCCTCCCCACTGCTTAGGTCAATCAGGCTGGGTAACTACAGCTGCAGGCTGTGCACTACTGGAGAGAGTGTGGCACTCAGAGATTTGCTGCATAGGCTGCACTCCTGTTTCCCTCCCTCTTCCAGGCTCTCTGCACTGGCAGCATTTAGCCTCACTCATTCAATCCCTTCCACTCTCTGCTTGGAGAAGAGAATACTCTCTTTTCTAGTCATGAAGGCTCCTTTGCACCTCCATGCTTTCTCCAGTGCTGCATTACCTGCTTGGGACAACCTCCTACCCCTTTTAGTCAGTAAGCATCCTACTTGTCCTCCAACACTCTCAAGCCACACGACTCTCTAGAGGCCACTGGTCAATCTGTCAGTCCACATCACAAAACTCTCTTTGTTGAGCTCCCCTTACACCACACCAAATGACCTTCATCTGCACTATGGTATTGAAGATAGGTTCAAATACCAGCTCTTGTGCTATGTAAAATAAACTTGGGGAAGTTACTTAACCACTCTGAGCCTTTTGTTTCATTTGGATGTTCCCCGCACACACCTGTAATCCCAGCATCTCAGGAGGATGAGGAGGAAGGCTGTAAGTACAAGGCTAGCCTCAGCAACTTAGTGAGATCCTTTTTCAAAATTTAAAAATAATAATATCAATAATAATAATAATAAGTGCTGGGGATGTGGCTCAGTGGTTAATCACCCCTGGATTTAATCCCCAGTAGCAAAAATGAGACCACATTAGGAAGCCAATTTAATTGTAGCCATTAGAACATAAGCTCCATGAGAGTAAGGATTTTGTCTACTTCACAAGCTGACACATCTCAAGGCCTGAAACTGGCTGGTGCTATGTACAATTTGTTAACTGCATGACTGAAGGAATGAAAAAACCATGATGTCTGATCTCATTTGATTTAATCTACTCTATAACCTTTAATGCTGGTATGATTATTATCCTCCTTTCCTAGTAAAGTAAACTGAGGCCCTGCACAAGCAATAAGTACCAGAGTCTCAATCTAATCTTTCAAGGAGAAGGGTGAGATGAAGGTTCATGGTCTACATGGCTATAAAACTTTCTTTAACTGTCCAAACAGCTAAAAGGGCAGAACATAAGGTGGGGCTGTAAAGATTCCTTCCCTAGCTGAAATCATCCTTGAATCAGAAGTGATCTGTTTCTCTGGCCTGCTTCTGACAGCACCAGATACAATAACCATCCCACCCTTGGCTGGCAGAGAACAAAAAGACACTACATTTGTATGAAACCAGTTACTCCAGAAGAGGGTCTCAGAGCATGGGGATGTGGGATAGGCCTTACCTTGCCTTTGAACAAGATTACTGGGCAGACGAACCGTCCTCTGCACCTGGCCATCTTGCTGCGATTGATGAGGTCTTGCAGCTTGCTCACTTGCACGGTGCTCTGAAACCTAACACAAAGGCAAGAGGCAGGTCAGACTGGCTTCCACATGGGCACTTTGCCATGGGCAAAAGGTCTATATACATGTATAAGAATACTCACTGGAGAGCTAATAAATGCTATTAATTCTTAAATTTTAGATCATTGATATATTAAGTTGAGAAGAAAAGTGCTAGGGTGAGAAAAAAAGTGCTAATTGTAGGTATTAAAGTTATCCTGATTTCAGAACCTTGATGATTAAAAAAAAAAAAAAGAATGAAGACATAATATGTAAAAAACAGAAATATACATAGGAAATTGACAGATGACTATGTCTAAAGTGTCTACTATCTCACTTCCAGGGTAAGACCAGGTATAGACTCTGGAAACCACAAGGCCATACTACTTCACTTCCAGGGTAAGACTTGGTACCTATAGACTCTGGAAACCACAAGGCCATAATTGTGATCTTTTAGGGAGCAAGATGAGATTACAGTTCATGTGCCAGCCAGTTTCACTGCAACCATCTTTAAGTGTCCAAAGAGTCAAAAGTGTATAAAATGCTGGGCAAAGAAAGCAAAAGAAAAGCTACCTATGGCACAAGAGATGTAATACACCAGGTTCTGTAAGGGAGCTCCTAGAATGTGAAAGATTCAGGTTTAAAAATGAGCTCCAGCAAGTCACACTCACACAAAATCACATTTCCCTAAAATAAGGGTCTATCCTCAGTACCATCAGGTAGCAGAGGACCTAGACCAGTTAGTCAGAATTTCTGGCAGTGACAGAGACAAGAGGCAGAAAAGTTAGAGCAGGAAGCTTTGCCAGCTATCCAAGTACACACATAGAAGGGAAGAAAGGGGCTCATATTCCCTCCTTAAAAGAGCTGAGCTTAGTCATGTGTGGTGGCACATACTCTAATCCTAGCAACTTGAGGGGCTGAGGCTGAAGTATCTCAAATTAGAGGCCAGCCTGGGCATCTTAGCCAGACACTGTTTCTAAATATTTATTTATGTATTTATGTATTTATTTACTTATTTATTTGTTGTAGTTGGCACAGTACCCTTATTTATTTATTTTTATGTGGTGTTGAGGATCAAATGCAGGGCCTCACATGCTAGGCGAGAGCTCAACTGCTGAGCCACAATTCCAGCCCCAGACACCATCTCTAAATAAAAGAAAAAGGGCTAGGAATATGGCTCAGATGTAGAATGCCCTTGGGTTCAATCCCCAGTAGTGCAGGAAAAAAAAATAATGCTTTTCAGACCAAGCCCTATAAGGGTTTAATTCCTTTCACATTTCAATCCTTCTAGGGATCCTTGTCATTGTATGGCTCCTCATGGACACATGTACCCAGATAACTGTTTGAGGAGAATTTAGTCAGCAACTCCCATATCTGTGGTTCCTTAATTACATGAATCTGGATGCTGTTGAAGTTAATAAAAATAGTTTTAAAAATATTGCTGATTGGGCTGGGGATGTGGCTCAAGTGGTAGCGCGCTAGCCTGGCATGCGCAGGGCGCTGGGTTCAATCCTCAGCACCACATACAAATAAAGATGTCATGTACACTGAAAACTAAAAAATAAATATTAAAAATTAAAAAAAAAACCATTGCTGATTGCCCAGGGTTGGCCTTGAACTTGTGATGTTCCTGCCTCAGCCTCTGGAGTAGTTGGGATTATGGACATGGTATATGCCTGACAGGTTGTTTGTTTTCTTATTTTTGAGTTTTAAGAGTTCTTTATATATTTTAAGAGCCCTTTATTAGATATGTCTTTTACAAATATTTTGTCCTAAAGACTCAAATAAAGAAACTTGACTTGGCCTGGAAAAAAAATGTTGAATTCTTTGTAAAATTGTATTTATTTTTATTCCAAACTGTGACTTAGCAATATAAAAACTAACAAGTGGTAGGGTCTGAAATTGAAGTTAAAAAGAGGATCAATAGTTTAAGAGATTTTGTCAGTATGGTGGCACATGCCTGCAATCCCAGTGATTTAGCAGGCTGAGGAAGGAGGATCAGAAGTTCAAGAGCAGTGTCAGCAACTTAGGAAGGCCCTAAACAACTTAGTGAGACCTTCCCTCAAAATGAAAAATAAAATGAGCTGGGGATGTGTCTGAGTGTTTAAGCATACCTGGGTTCAATCACTTGTGTGTGTGTGTGTGTGTATACATATATATATGATTTTTAAAACAGTTTCAGTGATTTTGGAAAGGAGATAAAAGAGGGTTTCCAATGTGTATTTTTCTGTGAGGTCCAATTTAAGATACAACTTTTTTTTTTTTTAGTTGTAGATGGACAATATCTTTGTTTTATTTATTTATTTGTGTGGTGCTGAGGATCAAATGCAGTGCCTCACCATGCAAAGCAAGCGCACAACCACTGAGCTACAACCCTAGTCCTTAAGATACAATTTTTTAAAAAAATATATATATTTTTTAAATATTTATTTTTTAGTTTTAGGTGGACACAATATCTTTATTTTATTTTTATGTGGTGCTAAGAATGAAATCCAATGCTTCACGCATGCTAGGTGAGTGTGCTACCACTTGAGTCACATCCCCAGCCCCTTTTTAAATATATATATATATATATATTTTTTAGTTTTTAGGTGGACATAATATCTTTATTTTATTTTTATGTGGTGCCCAGGGTCGAACCCAGTGCCTCATGCATGCCAGGTGAATGCGCTACCACTTGAGCCACATCCCCAGCCCCAAGATACAATTTTTATTAACTAAAATTTTTTGTTGTTGTTGAAGGAAGAGGGAAGAATGAACAACCTACAGATCCTGGGGTACCTTTGCTAAGTGCCTATAGGGTGGCACAGAGCTGCCAGCCAGCCCCAAGCACCTGAATGTTATTGTCCTCCCTCACTCAGTGTACCCATGAAATAAAAAGACACCTCAGTCTAACAAGACAACTGTCTCATTAAACTCTGACTCTAAGAATATCCAATAGAGCAAGTACAGTCCTGTACTTAGCACCCCTTTTCCCATCCACAGGGTGCTCCAGAATCTTTTCTCCACCTGGTCAGCTCTACCTGTTGCAGCTGCCTCTCGCTCGCTCATACCAGTAACTCCCTCTGAATCCTAAATGCCTTAAAACTGCGTTTTATTCTCCTTACTTCTCACTCAGCAAACCCTCCTTAATTCCAAGTGGAAAATACACCTGTTTCCCTCTCAAGGGCTTTGAACTATCTTTAAATGTAAAGACACATTTTTTTCTTCTTAGGTTAGCTAATGGTTTATTTGCCTGGTTTCCCCACTCAAAGAACCAAAGCAATTTCTGTTCTCGCAATAGTTCCTGTTTTTATTTTTATTAACTCTTGTCTTTTTATGGCAGTGCTAAGCAGTAAGCTGTATCTGGCACATGATACTCATATGTGAATGAATAAATGTAGACTTACACATTTATGTCTGCAAAATATGCACTGAAATTTCTGGCAAGATGTTACCAAGGAGTGAGGTTTCTTTAGATTTTAATTTTTTATTGAATTATTTATTTATTTACTTACTTACTTATTTTTGGTACTGAGGATTGAACCCAGGAGTGTTTAACCATTGAGACACCCCCTCCCCAGCTCCTTCTATTTTGAGACAGGGTCTCACCAAGTTGGTGATGCTGGCCTTGAACTTGGGATTCTCCTGCCTCAGCCTCCCAAGTTGGATTTTATATGCACCACCACACCCAGCTGAATTTTATATTTCTTCAGTATCATTTACACACAAATAAAACTATTTTCAAGTAAAGAAGAAAAAGTTGTTGTCACTTAACTTCCAATGGCAAACCTTCACACAACACCCCCCACACTTCCCAAACTATGTTGACTGTCCCTTCTACACATGCCCCAAACTTCCTGAGGTAAATGTTACTGCTACTACTATTTAATGTCATTAGCCCCATTTACAGATAAAACATGTTACTGTGAAATCACTAGCCCAAGGCCACAGAACAGGTAAACAGGGCAACTGACTTCCAAACCACAGCAGGCGGCCACTGAGCCAAGGGTTTTAGCCACTGTCCCCTAGACCCTCATCTGTACTTCCCCTTACTCCGGTTCTTATTATACGGTTACTGCTTATTTTTCTGTTATCCCCAGACCTAAGGGTAAGGACTTCATCTATCTGGCCTCTGGCTGGATTCCTGGGGCCTACTACACTGTAGCAGCTCCATGAACACTTGCTGACAATCACATGTCCAGAGACCCTGGACCAGGCTTCTATTCCTAGACAATGAACAGAGTTACGGAGGTTCACTATCAAGACCAAACCACTTCCTGAATCCAGTTCTACCATTTTTAACTCAGTCTAAGCTAGTATCACAGTAATACCAAAACCAAATGTAAAGAAGCAAACAATTCTAGTCCTTCCCCTCCAACAAATAGGCATCACTCCCCCCGCCCAAATAACCTCAATAACTAGTATGAGGCCTTGCAAAGAGTAAAAAGTAAAATCAAACTCCAGTAACTCCTCTAGAGTGAAGATGATGTACAGTAGTCCCGGCCTGGAGAATAAGGCCCTGCTAGACAAGGTGAGGGTGAAAGAAAAAAAAGGCAGACAAGCAGAAAAGGCAGAGCAGAAGTCAGGAAACCCAGCTTTTAACCCCATTCCATGTACCACCTTGGTAATCTTGAGCAGAGGCAAGTTGCCTCTTTGGGCTTCAACTTTCTGTGCAGAATGGGACAATACTGTCTTCTTGGGGGATGCAGCATAATGTATGAGACCCTAACACCTACCAACCAGTAGCCTGTCAACAAATATTAGTTTCCTTCCCTTTAAGAGCTAGACTGAATCAGCAATGAACTTGTTTGCCTTTCAGGAAAAGCTTCTTTGAGGGGACCAAGACCAAGTTCTTCCACCTACTGTTATTTGGCATCACCGGGAGCATGTTAGAAAATATGCCCATATCAAAAGTAGTGAAATCAGATTCTGCATTGTAACAAGATCCCAGGGGTACAGAGCCGGGCTTAATATCAGAATGCCATCAGGATAGAGGTAAACTGCCAGCCAGCCCTGAGGGGAGTGGAAAAAAGGGGAAGGACAAGGTAAAAGAAAAGTCCTCATTGAGAAACTGTAGGCTAAAGCATCATAGGAGGTAAGTTTACCTAACTCTGGAAGGAGTTAGGAAGAGATAAGAACCATAAATAAGGGGCCTTAACAAAGCCCAGTTCTTTAGGACTGGAGATCCCCACAGAGGATGGTGACCATAATTTCTATAACCTTCATAAAGAGGCCTTAATATATTCATTTACTTAGGAACCCCAGCAGACCTCATGAGTCGGGCACTCTTAAGAGAAATCCCCACTGTAAGATTGAGGAAACTAAGGCTTACTCCTTTAAATTCCTCTGAGCAGGCTGTTCCTCTGCTTGTAAGCATTTTCTGGTTCCCTGTGGCCCACAGTAGCAGTACTACAGCATGTAAGTATCTAGGGAGTTCTGAGAAGGCAGATTCTGGAAACTCTGATTCAGAAGGACCAGGGTGGCTCTAGAATCTGTACTTTTTTTTTTTTTGGTAGTACTAGGGATTGAACCCAGGGGCACTCTACCACTGAGCCACAACCCCAGCTCTTTTAATCTTGAGGTAGAGTCTCACTAAGTTTTCCAGGCTGGCTTCAAACTTTTGATTCTCCTGCCTTAGACTCCCAAGTAGCTGGGATTAAGGTGTGTGCCTCCAAGTATAGCTAGAATTTGTACTCTTTTTTTTTTTTTTTTTTTTTGAGGGAGAGAGAGAGAGAGAATTTTTTTTTAATATTTTTTTTTAGTTTTCGACGGACACAACATCTTTGTTTGTATGTGGCGCTGAGGATCGAACCCGGGCCGCACACATGCTAGGCGAGTGTGCTACCGCTTGAGCCACATCCCCAGCCCTAGAATTTGTACTCTTAATGCGTGCTCAGGGGATACTGCTACAAAACCACTAACACACATGATCCACAAGTCCTGCTTTTGGCCTGATGATCAAGACCCTATATAAGCTAGTCCCTAAGGAACTTCAGAGAAATTCTAGTCATCCTTCTAATGGCAGCTGCAAAGGCTCCCCTACCATAAGGTCTTCCCAGACACACACAAGGCAGATTCACCATTCTCCTTGGTTTGCCTACAGTAGCACTTTCAAGCCTTAATGTGTATTTGAATAACTTGGACAGCTTGTTATGTTGTGATTCTGGTTCAACAGACCTGGGACCTGAGATTCTACATTTCTACTAGGTTCTCGGGCCCACAGATGGCCATACTTTAATATAGAGAGGAGTGGTTGCACTGTATACTCAGCTATAGCATTCATCTTGATATTTTGTCCATACAGAAATATAAGACAGCGGCTTCAAGGATTCTTAAGATCAGTAGCAAGCAGGGAAATTAGGAGAAGAAACTCTAGAGCAAACCTTGAACTTCAGTCATGTCATTAGTGTCAAACAACTGTGACCATTTACTGACTGCCTATAGGGCATCTCCTACATCAGGCTCTTCATGTCTACTCTCCTGTGGATTGTTATCCCACAAAAAACACTCAGGTCTTGGTGCCTACCAATGTAACTCTTATTTCTAATTCTTACAACAAACATGTCAGGCTTGAATTAGCACTACTTATCATGAGGAACAGCACTAGCAACTTTTCTAGAATTTTAATTGGTCCTTGCAAGCACTAATTAAGATGAGGCAGGGAATTACCAATGAGAAAACTGAGGAAAAAGAAGTTAAATAACTTATCCAGGGTTAGTGATAGCCAGCAAATGGGGCATCCAGGATATAAACTCAAGCATTCTCACTCTAAACTTGAGGTTCTTAAGGGCTACATATGGCAAACACTATTAAGCCTGTCTTGACAGCACACCACCCACTCATACTCTTGGAAAAAAAAGAAAGAAAAGAACACCGAATTTGTTCAGAGAGGTGAAGTGTGATGTAATGTCTCAGGACAATGAGCTCTAGAGAAAGAGTGAGAGAAATCCAGGGTCATGACTCCCAATTCCTCTATGCTGTTACAACTTGCCAACTTAATTTACTGAACCCTGAAGTTATTCTTAACTGGCCAAGAATAATTTGCCAGTTATTCTTTTTTTTTGTACCACTGATTGAATTCAGAGGTACTTGACCACTGAGCCACATCCCTATCCCTATTTTTGTATTTTATTCAGATACAGGGTCTCACTGAATTGCTTAGCACCTCGCCATTGCTGAGGCTGGTTTTGAACTTGTGATCCGCCTGTCTCAGTCTCTAGAGCTCCTGGGATTACAGGCATGCACCACCACACCCGACATGCCAGTTATTCTTAACATGGCAAGAAAGTATGTCTGCCCTGCCCAGCAACAACTTCCTGTCCCCAGGGATGAGTTTCCAGGACCTCCCAACAAGCATACTATGGTCACATGATGCTCACGTGTCTTTCTCCTTCTCAGAACTCTCATACTCCAGGAACACGATGTGTCGGGGATAGTGACCACAGATATCCCCATTCACATTTGGAATCACGCTGAAACAGTAGTCTCGGCCAAACAGCTCCAGACATCTCTTCTCAATGCGCTCAACCTGCACAGAGGAGACTTAAGCATGAAAAAGATTCTGGTGTTCTCTGGGTCATATTTATGTGGTCCCTTACTTGGAGAGGTCACTGAGAACGACATGTGCCTCTGTGATTATTATTATTTTTCAGTGCTGTGAATAGACATCATGATGCTAGCTCACAGACCCTACATGTTCATTAACCCACACGGCATACTTCAAGAAGGACCCTAAACCCATTGACATTGCATGTAAAAACTGTGCGTGTTCAGCATTTGGGGGGCAGGATCACAACTTTCATTAGCTTCAAATGAAATGACAACACATAAAATATTTTTCTCTAGATTACAAAACCTGTCACTAACCCATCACCTACCCTTGGTGACAGATTATTCCCTCTTCTCCAGCTTCAGACTAGTACCTTGAAGCTCTAGTCCTTGTAATCAGTAAGAACTTCAGACAGTGTCTAATAACACACCATTTCCTTATAAAAATAGAAGGCACAGCTCCCCCTAAGGCTGTTCACTTTGTTCACAGTTCAAGAAAGGTCCATTGGGGGGAAAAAACATAAGTCTATACATCTCAAGAAGTTTACAAGTGATCAGAAGGCCTGGAGCGGCATCAAGCCCAGGTGCAGTGGAAGGTCTGAGGGAAATCCCAAGGGGGAAAAAAAAGAGAGGAACTGAGACCTTCTTTTGATAAAGGAACAGAGAGGGAGTGTGGGTTGTCTTCCTGCTCTATAGGGGAAGGAAAGGGATGGGCCTAAGTCATGCTGAGACCTTATAAGGAGGCAACTCAGCAGTCCATCTCTTGGCAGTCCATCTCTTGGCTCGGTTCTGCCCTTTCATTCTAACCTCTGACCTGGAGGAATCCTCTCCCTATTTTTACTTAGATGTGGTGGTTTTGCCCTGAACCACCCCCATCCCCCAGGCACCAGAAGCAGGATAATAACATTCCTTAGTTCTCTTTGCTCCAGGACCCTCAGCTCTGACCCTTGACCTCCAAACCCCTAGTCTCAAACTAAAAAGACCGCCTTCCGCTGCTCATTCGGATTCTAGTTTCTCCTTTTTTTTTTTTTTCATTTTTAAGCCCGCCCCTTACTCTCCGGGTCCAGACCCTGGAGAAGTTCCCTCTCTACCCTCTTCCTCAGCAGACAGGTCCCACTTCTACTTTCCTGTGCCCTCGGACCCCAGTCTTTCCTTTCTAACTTCCCAAGACAGGGGTCTGCTCCAGTTCTCCGTGCCTCCGAGCTCACCTTAGAGCCGCTCGTCCCGCTGCCGTCCTTGGCCCGGTACTGAGTCCGGGAGAACTCTTCTAGCAGCTCCCCGAGCCCCGGCTCCTGAGGCGGTGGGTTGCCTGAAGAGGCTGAGGACCCTGCCGAGGCGGCGGCGGCGGCCCGGGCGCCAGCCATGGTCCAGCCTCACGTCCCCTCAATGCGCCTCAGCCTGGCCCATGGCACCTGGCGGCACCGACTGCTACTCTGCAACCTCGCGAACCGCCTCAGCCGCCGCCTTCTTCTTCCACTTCCGGCCCCGCCCCACTCCGCCGGATGTTTACTCTGGTCCTGGCCAATCAGAACCCGGCATTCGCGCCTTACCCACGACTACCGGCCCACCCGTGACGCGGAGCGATCCAAGTGGTCTCCGGGAGGGGGCCGCAGCCACTCGCAGCTGCTGGGGCTCCGCCCCACGGGGTTTCCCCCGGGGAAGCCGGGCTGAACCATCGGGACTGCGGCGGGAGGGGGTAGTGCGGGAACTAGTAAGAAGAAACCGGTGGAAAGCGGAGAAAAGTGGAATGAACCATTATAGAGAGAAGGGAAGGCACCAAATTAGCCTCGGCAACCATAATAGCAGTAGTAACTAATATCAAAACAGCGTTTCATAAAGCAGTTTTCTGCCTCTGCGCTTCACAACGTCCCTATGAGCATAGTGCACTATATGGCCAACCATATTTTATAAAGACACCCTATTTTGTGGAGGAATCAAGAAGGTATGAAAAGCGCTGTATTTTTTTTTTTCTCTAATGGAATATTTCAAATATTCAGAAAAGGGGAGACAGTAGTATACTGGAACCTCATGTATCCACCACAGTGCTCAACAATAAACGGCAAATGCCAGTCTCTCCTAATTAATGAATTCTTCCCTGTCAAGGGATTATTCCCCCATCTTTTTTTGGGGGGTGGGGGGGCGGGGGTACTGGGGATTGAACCCAGGGGACCTCTACTGTCTGTAATCGTGGTCCACTTTATGCTTTGAATGTAATCCTTGCTTCTCTACCACTGCAATTTATTTTTTATTTTTTTTATATTTATTTTTTAATTGTAGTTGGACACAATACCTTTATTTATTTATTTTTATGTGGTACTTAGGATCGAACCCAAGGCCTCGCACCTGCTAGCCGAGCGCTCTACCGCTGAGCCACAATCCCAGCCCTGCAATTTATTTTTTAAGTGGACATATTTCTTTCTCTTCCTCTCTCCCTAATCTCTCCGATCCCTAACCTCTGGGGAAACAGGTTTACCTTTCTTCCCCATTCTAGGCAGATTTAGCTATCCTTGAAAACAGGTCCACTATAGGAAGGAAGTAATTCAGACTTTAGGGATGGTACCACAAGATCTCTGAAAGGACTGCCTCCCAAATTAACAAGTGAATTACAACTCCAACGGAGAACTAGTGGAATTTAGCCTTTGAATCACCTCTTTAAAAGCCCCCCTCCCTGTTCCTGCTGATGGGCAGAATCACAGCCTTTGGGACAGAAGGCCCTGTTGTTTCTTCTTTGCTGGCAAAGCAATAACCCTTTCCCCTTTTTCTCAAAACCATGTCCTTATTATTGGATTGCCGTTAGGGACAAGGACGAGCTTTCGGCAACACTACTGCTGAGTTTTGTCTCCAGCCCTTTTTATATTTAATTTTGAGAGTGGGTCTTGCTAAATCACTGAGGCTGGTCTCCAAACTGTGAGCCTCCTGCCTTAGCCTCCTGAGTTGCTAGGATTACAGGCAGCGTTCCTCTGTGCCTGGTTCTTTCATGAACTGACAAACTAAATGAATCAGTTTAACCCAAGACACACAAAAGTAAAATAAGCAAAAACAAGTAAAAGGAATATATGAAAATATAGGCAAAATAGATAAAAAGAAAATTCCTCAAGCACAGAGCACTGGTAAGGACCCAAACACTATCCACAGTGAAATTATCTAAAATGGTCAGGGACCAAAAATGGTCAGAACCAAAATGGTCCATTCAAAGTGACACTTGAATGGGTCTGGATTGCCACCAGCCGTCAGCAATGAAGTAAAGGATTTGTTTTATTCACTCAGGAAGGATGTTGATCAACTAATGCTTTTGCAAAATAACCGTCCCCAGAGTGGCATCTTAGTGAGCAGTATGAAGGAACTGGAATTTATGGTTCCAGAAGGTTTATTCACTCAACTTCTAGGTGTCAGTTTTTGGAGGGAAAGTTCCAGGAAATCAACTATTGCACACAGTTTTCCTGTGGCTATCAGTCAACCGATTATCAAGTGAAACTGTCAGCTGCCACTTGGCTCAAAGCTTGTTTTACCAGAGAAAATTCAATATGGAGTTAGTGCTGTCAAAATACAGTCTTTTAATCATAATTAAAAGACCAGTTTTTCTCAGATTCACAAGAGGCATAACAAGGCAAAACGTGAATCACACCTGTCCACTGTCAGTCACTACACATTCCCCAACTAGATAATCACTATCTTGACTTCTAATAGTGTATATTGTTGGTAAAGATGGCACCCAGAGCGCTCAGGACGCACTGAATGGCGCGCGAACCATCATCTCCAATCCCCATGAAGGGCGCGAACTTTGAATGGCGCACCTCCAATCCCTGAAGTGGCGCGAACTCTTGGCCAATGAAGAAGTAACAGCCTACTCGCCCTGCTCCTCCTCATCCCGCATTGAGCCCATAAATATCAACACCCTGTTCTCTTTCTCTCTCTCCACCCCCTTCTCTTCTGCAACTGGCCACTACTGTCCCGCTAATAAAATATCAGACAGGTAAACAGTTGTTTCGGCTTGTTGAGTTTACAAAGCTTTTTCTGCCTTCCTACATATATTAGTTGTGTTTTTGAACTTTAGTCAAATGAAATCATAATGTGTACTCTTTTTTATATAGAATTCTTATGTAAAAATATTTCTGTTAGTTGTACATGCACACAATTCATTCATTCATTCATTTATATAAGATGCTGAGGATTGAACTCAGTGCCCCACATGTGCTAGGCAAGCACTCTACCATTGAGCCACAACCCCAGCCCCATAATGTGTATTCTTTTGTGTTTGGTTATTTTCCTTCAACATAATGTTCTTAAGATTAGTCTATTTTTTTGCATGTAATGGTAGTTGTTCATTCTCAGTGCTATGCCATTGAATAAAAAAATGACAATTTTTTTTGTTTAATTGCTGATGGACATTTATATAGTTTATATGTTTGGGGCTAATAAAAATAGTTCTGTGGGGCCCAGCACGGTGGTGCAGGCCTGTAATCCCAGCGGCTCTGGAGGCTGAGGCAGAAGGATAATGAGTTCAAAGCCAGCCTCAGCAATGATGAGGCACTAAGCAATTCAGTGAGACCCTGTCTCTAAATGAAATACAAAATAAGGCTGGGAATGTGGGTCAGTGGTTGAGTGCCCCTGAGTTCAAACGATGGTACCAAAAAAAAAAAAAAAAAAAAAGTTATCTAGGGCTGGGGTGTGTGGCTCAGTGGTAAAATGTACAGCTGTCATTCAAGAGGACCTACATTTGAAACCCAGCATTGCACAAAATGAATAAAATGAATGTAGCCCGGAACATGGCACACACCTACAGTCCCAGTTACTTGGGAGGCAGGAGGATAGCATGAGCCCAGGAGTTGGAGGGCAGCCTGTGTAACTTAGCATGATTCTGTCTCAAAATAATAATAATATAATAATAATGCTCTGTCATGATGGGCAAAAGGTGCGACTTATGCTATCCAGGCGGAGAAATAAAGAATGTCCACACGCTTCTGTCCTAGTCAATGCTTTATTCACTCAAATCACTCAATATAATTCACTCTATAGGTTCTTAATCAAGAAAACGACAATCCTTAATGCTAGGCACTGCAATAGACATAATCAATTCACAGCAAACAATTTTAGATTAATTCTAAGTTCTGCAAACACATTTAATCATGAAAGGCTCATGACAGACATTCCCTCTGCTTGCTAAGTTCAAGTGTCAGATCAAAAGTCTCAAGCCTTATGCTTTAAGTCCAGCAGATGCACACTTACTCAGACCGCCATGATCAGGTCAGGAACCAAGGCAGGCCTCTCCTGGGGTGGAGCTGACAGCTGGCTGAGAAGGCAGTCATATGAAGAAATCCATTTCTCACCAGAGTCAAGAGGCTGCTGTAGAGTTTGAGAGCAAGAGAACAATACAGAGGTGTAGGCAGATGAGAAGAATTGGGATGTTAGTCCTGGTCCTCATCAGGCTCTCAGGCTTGGGTGCATCAGTGTCAGCTGGCTGAATGTCTGTTCATTTGCTCCATTATTTATAGCAAATTTTGGAGCTTTTGACGCCCCTTTCAATCCTTATCAGCTGCCAGCAGGTGTCTTAGTGATGTCATTTACCCTGGGGTTAAAACATCTGGCCTGGTGGTCCCCACCCTGATCTTTTTGCCTTTCCCTCTTAGTGGGTGCCTTTCCCTCTTATCTGGCAAGGACAGCCTGCCAGAGACTTCACTCTGAGTTTGTCAGGGTGGGGAGAAGTGACTTGTTTGTACCTGAGGGCCATTCTGGAGGGCTCTGTTAGGCGTGCCTACTGAGACTACAGGTTTCAAACTGGAGTTTTAAAATGGAGTTACTTAGGCTCAGCCTAAGGCCATCCTTACATGATCTTATGAGTTATTTTGTAGATATTTTTGCTAAGCCTAAGCCTAAATAGACATTTCTCTTAGGTATCTACCAAGGAGTGGAATTGATGGATTTGATGGCTAATGTGTGTATAAGTTTTTCAGAGTTTTCCCCAGAGGTTGTGTTCATTTCTAGTCCCACATGCTTGCATCTTGCCACCATGTGGTAATTTTCATTTTAGCAGCTCTGGTGAGAGTGTAGTGGTTATCTTATTGGGCTTATAAAACACTAACTTTATTTATTTTTAATTTTAGATACCTCCTAAAAATTTTAGAGACCTCCTGCCTCAGGCTCTCCAGCAGCTGGGACTACAGACACATGGGACTATATCCAGCCAAAAAAAAAAAAAAAAATCAACTTTACTAAAGTACAGAGTATGTATGATAAAATACACCCACTCTACTGGTACATGTTGAGACGTGTTGCCAAATTATAAAATTGCCACCACTTTCAGGATATTGAATACTTGTTATCACCTCCCATAAAGTTCCTTTGAATCTCCTTCCAGCCAACCCCTCTGATCCCCATCCCCAGGCAACCACTGATTTGCTTTCTGTCCCCAGACTCTCCTATAAATGGAATCATACAATGTGTACTCTTCTGCATCTGGCTTCTCTCAGCATAGTTAATTTTG